GCGATCATTAAGAGACCCTCATCAAAATACGGGACACTCCTTCAAGTTTTCAACGACCTTTTTCGACGAGCGAATCGCGAAATAATTACGATTTCCTCGATGATAGTCACTTAGGGCGGCGCAAAAAACGTGCCCGGCCATTCGAGTGCCGCTGGAAAAAAGCTCTTCATCTCGCTAATATAATTACCCAAATTTGAGATTCGCGCATACGCCCGAAGAGAGGACTTTTCATTCGAATATTACACAACTCTCTAGCTCGATTAAAGGAATGTTGTTTTGTTATTTGCGGTGCAATTAAGAGGAGTAGTTATGCACTTATAGTGGTACTAAATTATTCTTTGTAGATAAACACTTATAAATAATAAAAACGTTGGTATAGCGAAGCCTGAGAGAGGTCCTTAACGAAGCGTAGCCGAATTGAAAGTTCCCCTCTTGATATTCCCGCGAACAACCGCGTCCTGTTCGTCCTATAAACACCACTAAAGACTAAGTTATATTCCGTTGGACAATGGCTGTTCGTCACGCACTCGAGCGCTCCTTCCTCAGCGCTCGAGCACCATCATAAACGTTTATTTATCGCTCTTCCACCGGCGGTTTTATTAAAATTCGGTATTTGTTACGCCGTCAAATCGGCGCGCTAATAAATCGGAATTGATGATGAAATTAGACACGGTGCAGGTCCGGGGTTCGTCTTTAAATTCCACCGCCACCTTTAACGTCGTTAATCAGTCGCTAAGTGCAAGGAAAACGCGGAAGGGCCGGCTCGAAATCGCGTACGCCCTTCGTTAAATGTTCACGTTCGGCTTCTGCAGAACAAGAACCGCCGCTCGGATCTCATTAGACTCCATTGGAACCGTCGGCTCAATTAATGAAGTAAGGGAGCGGATGAGGTGCGCTCGACTTCCTCCTTTCGGCGCCGGCCCATTGTAATGGAACGGAATCGCATTAATAACGCGCGGGTTTGTGACTTTTCGTTTCTTCGCCGCGCGATTTAATTAATACCCCTCCGGTATTTACCCCGATTGCTATACTTTTTACACTGGCTCAATACTATAGTTACTGCCAAAAATTCCATTTCAACTCATTCTAGTGTTTCCAATAAATCTAGCGTTTTTTAGGACACCCTGTATAAATGAAATTAATTTTATAAAATGAGCACAATATCTAGTTCCATCATAATTTCTTGGTAACTTGTACGTAGTAAAAAATCCTTATTATATTTAGCCTTTATGTGTTCATATTTTTATCCTGGATTCCAGGCTGGTCGGTTAACCTCGGATTATAACCCTCCTGTTTTATCTGAACTTGCTGGGCTTAGGAATACGTTGAGGTTACTCATTTCTGTGCTCGCTATAACAGAGGAGTTTCCCAGCAATATTTTTAGGCAGTATTTAAGAAGATTAGCGAGAATAATGGAAACGAAAGCTCCGGAGATTGTAGAGAACGTTGTGGAACAACAAAAGTTTCCGATTGTCCCATAAATTGACAATTAATATTTTTCGATTTCGTGTTATATTATCTTCTGTGTCGCACGTTTCGAATTTTCCCGTAAAGTTGTTAATTTACACGGACACCGCCATCAAGCGGCGATGTGATGTCTAAACTCTAAATTGCATTCGGTGTATCTAAACCTTAATTGGTAGCAATATAACTTCTGTAATTTTAACAATACGGTATTAATTCCCGGAAACGTCATAAAGAGAAGTGGAATTGCTTCGTTACGTATAATGTGTAAAGTGATTTTGCTTATATCCCAGCAATAATTATTCCGAAACGGTAGATGGACATTGAAATGTTTCAATGGGAAACCCAAGAAAGCTGCATAAACTTGGGCAAGACGTGCTATGCCCGTTGCATTTACAAACAACTGGGATATTGCCGGATAATAAAAATAATAATGGCGAACCTACATGCCTGACGTTATGAACGTTATGTTTAATAGGAAGCGCCCGGTTGTCTGGTTAAATTGAATTCAGAAAGTTTAGTTGGACAGTAGATTTCAGGGCGGTATTGAATAATTTATTCAAATACCGCTGAACAAACACTGGTAAAGATAATTCGATTGCATTAGATAAAGTTATTTTAAAACTGTATAAAATATGTGTTTATTGTAAAGTGGCTTTCGCCTTATTGTAGAAGTTTTTTGGGACACAGGGTGATGGGATTGTCTTTTTGATGCGGCTTCCCTTATTGTTCGAACGTATGAAAACGGGAATGGGCCGGGTTTGCATGGAAAGGGAATGCGAAATGAGCTCGACTTGAGTAGATAAAATATCCCTCTTCTCAGAGCAAATCCTGCACATTTTCATAATTTCTCGCTAGCTGTAAGTTACACATAAATCTTTTATCCGTTCGATTTAACTACAAAACGTCTAACGTAAATATAGGAAAAATCGAAATAACGTTCGGCGTACGGTCGTTTTCCGCGAATATGCGCGGTATATTATTCGAGAGTTTTTCAATTTTATAAATTTCAATTCGGCGAAACTGCACGCTTTGCTGGAAAATATATTCATCGATTCGCGAAAATCCAATTTGTTGTTCGAAAACGGGCGACAAATTTCTGTTTTGTAAATACGAAAAACGAATGTATTTCTGTTATGTTGCTCGCGCTCACTGTTCGTCTTCATAATCCCGCCTTAAACTAATGTACTCAACGATTATCCTATTAAAACTTTTATAAAAGCACATGACATCCTTCTACTGGTTCTGCATATATTAGTGTCCTTAAGCAGACATTCTAATTTATATCAAATACGTAACCAATTTTATAAAAGCTTTAAGGATATTATCTCGCTTAGTTTTCCGGTTAATTTCTCTGGTATATGTAGGAAAACGCTGGATCTGCAAAGCCCGAATTCTAGTTCCTCCACGCCCTGTTATTGACCTGAGTAAATGGTCAAATTTTAGTCGGCTGCTCGTCGGGTGTATGCAAATCTGTCGCACTTTGAATGGCATCAAATTGAAAAGCCGGCATTTATCTTCGCCTCTAACTGTCGTGGGGCGAGCGAAGGGAACGGGGCGGGTTCTTTTGCGTTTCTGCACCGTCATCCCGACCGGCTTAAGAGCGGAAATCGGGGCGACAAGGAAGCTGGGATAGTTGCAGTTAAGTAATAAGAGCGGGTTGTTTTAAAACTAAATATTTTAGAGACCCAAAGGAGCGTTTACAGTTGGATTTTCCTCGCTTTATATACGGATTTTTTGTCACCTTTCCGCATAAATTGACCTCCGCAGCTCGGTTTCGTTTCGAGCGGCAAAAAAGTGTAGTTTTATAAAAGGAGCGAACCCGCTTTTATGGCGGCTCTTAGTCACAGATGTGAATAAAAAGGACTCTGATAAGGTCCGAGGCTCTCGAAACTAAACGATCTTCTTCGATCGGGTTTTATGTTTGTTTTTCTTCCGCGTTGGAGTATCACTCTTGAGGGATTTAATATTCGACGGTTTTATAGTCGCTGAATCGAGAAAATCTTAAATTTTACTCGTAAACCTAACGTTAATAATTAATTATGATTCGTTGTAAAAGCTGAATGTTCTTGTAGTTTTTACTCAAAAAAGCCCCAGCTTTCTCGACTCTCGTCGAAAGTCTAGAATGTTAGAGTAGCAAAAAGCTCCGGCGAAGATTCGCCGGATAGCCGGGCAAGTTCAGGCCGGCGACGTGACGTTCGCAGGAAGTGTCTGCAAAAACGTTTAAATACTCGATGGTGCCGAAAAGTTTTTCCGTAATCGAAACGTTATTAGTTCGCCATGCTGCGCTTACACGGTACGTTTTTTAATGTCGCCGGTCCTCTGAATTACAATTCGGACGGGATTTTCCAAGTTTGGAAATTTAATTTTTATCCATTTTCCATCTAAATTGAATTTCTTCCTGCGCGATACGTCATACATAAACACTTTAATATTCCCGCAAAGGAGTTATTGGTATCAAAAAGTTGATAATAATCTTATTAATTTTAATAGATTGATGTAGTTAAAAAACCTTTAACTATAACCGTACAATATAAGAAAATTGACGCTATAAAGTATGCAACAAGAGAATTAAAACCCAATTTAGCGCGATGGTATTTATTTAATCGGCGCCCTCTAACAATTAAAAGTGTCTATTAAAAGAATGTAGCGCGGTCCTCTGGAAAGATAACAATCGGACGGGGGAAAATAAAATTTCCACTTAGTTAACTGTAATTAGAGCCGAGACATTTTAGTCGGAATTAAAAGCGGTTCTACCGTTTGTTTTCCGTTAACGGCCGGCCCTTATTAGGCGATATCCGAGGCGAGAGACAAAGGGAAACTGCAGTTGGAAATCTGGAAATTGCCCGAATGCACTTACGGCGTCGATGTCGTCCGGAAACTGTGATTATTTTACTTGTAAAAACGAGGTAAATCGCGTTTTCCGCATCCCGTACGGGTTGTGTTAATTCGAAATTACGAACATTAGAGTAGGTTAATAATTCCACGCGCGTTATACTTATGCAATTACAATAAAAAAATTATTTCAACCATAGAGTTAATGCAATACAAACCTAGCGAGTATGTATAGCGTAGGTTATGCGGCGTAATTTATATTCAAAATATCTACACCGCTCTGATATTGAACTATTCAGCTGAAGAGTATAAAAGCTTAGCTTCCGGCGACGAACGTAATTAGTTCGGAACAAATGCGGCTCGCTCCGCTTTTCTCTCTCGCCCAATTCTCCTCGATTCTCACGCGAATCGGATCGCCGAAATATTGCATTTCCTTCGCATATGTAGGTACCGAAATTGGTATTGTATAGGTACCATATCGGGCTCGATCTCTAAACTAATTCCTCGGCTTCCGGCTATTCCGGCGAAATTCCTAATTCTACGACGTTCAGTTCTAGCTCGGTTAATTCGAATGCAATTTTAATCGTACTTTTATTTTAGTAATTTCCGTTTGGTTTAATTGAAAATGTTGAAACGAATTCTCCGGATTAGGCAGCTGATTAATCGTACCCAGTTTGTTAATTAATGTGTTTTTGTTGCAGGAACGTCGTCTACAATTTAACGTTGTCCGAATTAACGGAGCAACAAAGATTGATTTGGTATTCGAACGAGCACGACGCCAAAATGTGCGTGATGAAGGGAAAAGACGAGGTAAATTTTCTTTTTTTTTTATTACATTTATAACATTTACAGCATTTCTTTCAATAAAGCTCCTCGAGATATTTCATCCCGGCCATTAACTTTTTTTTTTCATCTCTAGCATTGTGCAACTTTTTAATGCAGTCGCCTTTGCATCCCGATTCCGTATTATCTGCGTCTGCTATCTTCTTCGCAGCCTTAATTGCTTCCTTGGCTTTCTTTTGTCCCCTCCAGTACAAACTTTTTCAAGCGTAAATTTATGTACAGGGGGCGCAAATAACCGTTCCAAAACGAGCGGCGTAAAAATGGTGCGCCGTAATTAACAGAAAAAGCCAGCGTTTTTATAACAAAGGCTAATTCAATCTGGGATTATTAAAGTCCGGATTTTCCACATACGCAATGTCGTAATCGATCAATCAGTGGCGCTTTTCAGCGCTGTCGACACGTCCCGGACCGTCGACGTTACTTTTTTTCTCTCCCGCCCGCTTTATTCCTCGTTTTTTAATCAGAAGCAGGTTCGAGGAACGTTTAATGGCTGACAGCGATGCCTTTATTCGACTTCAGATCGCCCGATCGGCCCTTTTCGCCCTTCGGATCCGATTTACACAAAGGGAATTGATACACATCGAATTACGGCCTTCGTATATGCGATAGCAAAAAAAAGGGATTATGTAATCGAGTGTACGCGAACGCGTGTGTATTGTCCCAATTAAATTAATGCGATCCGGCGCCTAAACAGACCCTTTTTCCTCCCAACCTGAGAATTCGCTTAATTAATTTCGAACCTAACGTACGAATATTCTTTTATTTCTTAAAAACACAACACGGATTCTATTAATTTCCAAGAGGGCTTTCTATATCGACACACAAAGCACCTCTCATGTACGGAGGATACATCAACGAGATCTCATCGCTTATATTTACCCACTTTTTCGCACAAAAGCGTAAATACCGAAGAGCGAAAGGCCGCGCCGCAGATAGAGGAATAGAGCTCGAGTGGGGCCCCTCAATGGGGCTCCTTTCCACCTGAACGACGCTAAATAATAGCGTCATTTTCTCGCTTTTGTTCGAACCCATAACAACGAAGAACATATAGGATCTCGCACGCTGCGCGAGCTCCTCTTCGTAACTAACTTGAATAAATATAGATGGCGTTTTTATTGCATACAAGTGTAATCTATTCGATCGAGCTCGTGCAATAAGTTCCCGGAGTAAATCCTATAAACGTATCCACGACCTCCAGCCGGCGTGTTATTATACACCGAGATAAGGTAACGCCTCGCGGAAATGTAGGAAGAACGCCGGCTAACGAGCCAGATGATTTCTCTATCGAAAATCGACACAAGGTATGTCTCTTCCTCTCCGGGGCTTCCGGAAGGAGCGCAGGACCGGATCGCGATCGATGGAAACTTCGTTATTGGCGCAGATATAAAACCCGGAGCCGGATCTGCGAAAGCATTAGGGAGTCGACCGACTATCTGGGTAAAGGAAATTCCATGCCTCTTGGCGGGGTTATGGTTTTCGCGGCGATAAAACGCTTTAAGCGATAGTAGTAGGTGGAGGAGTCGAGGATTATGGAGTTATTAAAATCGACGTCGGCGATATGAATATTTGGAAAATTCCCTTTTCGGATTCGTACTCTCGACGGTTCGCTGTTATTTTGTTAGGTAATTTATACGCGACAACCGCGCCTAGGCGATCGATTAGCCGCGCAAAAACTATCAATTAGGCGTTCGTTCAATGGGAAAAGGTATTAGAAGAACCGGAGGCGTCGTAACCGCCTTCCGCCGACTTAATTTATTTCGAGTGTAAACTGCGAACGGTTTTAACGTTCCGGGCACGATGATGATTACATTAACGCGGTTAATTAGCTGCTCGCTTTTCTCCCGAGCTCTTCCAAAACAAAAGGTTAACGGCCCGATTGGAAGCAGAGCGGAATTTTCTAGCCCGTTTACCACTGATTTCATACGTTTATTTTTACAGTAATATAAAATAAAAGTTGGGTAGAGTATGTACTTTTTATTCTAATGAAATTAGAATGCTTGAATTATAGTCTTAAAAGTAAGTACATCCTATAATTTCAAAAGGAATCCAAAAGTAATCAAAGTTTTAATAAGCTTACAATAAGGCAGTTGATAGAGTGTAATTTTTTTATCATTGACCTGAATCAGCAAGTTTACTGGTGTCGATAAATATGTCGCAGGATATGAAAGGTTCCGGTAACTATTTGACATTTTCCAGTGAAAAGCGCCGTAAACTTATACGGTCCTTCGAGCGTTATCTCGACCGATATATATACAAAAGCGACTTGGGGGTAACGTTGCACGGAGATTTTTTAAATATTTCTTCAGGTGCATGCACATGCGACAGTATCGTAAACACGGCTTTCTACTTTATTAAACGGCGGCTTGGAAAAACCGGCTTTTCAACGGCATTTAACGAAACGGGCGGGGAATAGTTTATCTTATACTTTATTCGTCTTTGTATCGCATGTCGTGTCGCTGGGCTATATCCTAGCGAGAGCTCGCCTCTTTGAATATTTAGGTCGCAACCTGTTTGTGTTTGTTCTTTTGAGCGTCCAGAGAGCTTTTTTCAAACCATTGTGCCGCGAGTTTATTCTGCAACAGTAGCACGGAAAAACGGGCGCGATGAAAATATATTCGTTCCGGCGAGATTATAACACTTACATTAACTCATTGAAAACTTATTACTATTCTACAATCGACTTTTAAGTCTGTTTGAATTACTTCTCGTCTCGCGGACTCTCAGGAAAGTTTCTTCGTCATCACCATAATGGATGTTATTTTCGTCCTTTTCTTCTCCAGTTAGTTACGTTCGACTTACCGAGTGTAATTCGGACAAAAGAAACACAACGAATAATCTCGAGCAAAAAAGTTTTCACTTCCTCTTTGATTAATTAATTTTCGCGCGGGACTTACCGGGCTTTCCGTCGCTTCAGATGATGAATTATTTAACCACATCGAAGCCGAAGGAAAATGTGAAATTTTAATACAGTTTTTTTTTCATGGTTAACGCGTTTTATTTTCGATTTCCAACGACAATACGTTCGTTAAACCCGCCGGAAAATTCGAGTACTTACATCAAATTGCATCTTCCTCCATTTTTAATGCTTTGTTTTCCGAATCGGGAGCTGAATTCACAACGAGTACGAGGCCGGTGCGACGTACCCAATGCGATTTACTTATTCCGGAATTGTCCCGATAAATTTCCCGTAACTACGACTTGTTTGTTCTGAAACGAGGAATTCTCGAGCGAAGTCCAATCTGTACTGCACAGAATATACAACTCCCCCACATAACCCTCGCTGTTAAATTGAACTTGTGCGAGTTATAAATATGTACCTAAAGGGGTTAACAAGTCCTATATGTATATTTTATAAATTGTTATTTTGTGTAATTGTATATAGTCAAATTGGATAGAAAGTTTTGTGACAAATACGGCGGAAAATTCTTCGCGTAAAATTGCAAAAGTTTCTCGCATAATTTAGGCGAAAAAAATATTATATATCGCCGCGTAACGCCGCTGATTGCAACTGTGTTCGAATCATTTTATATGCAAATTGGACTTAGTCTGAGCATTCAGGAAAATATAGTTTTGGTATATTGGGAAATTACCAAGAAATGAGTTTTCAACAAAGTTTAACTCCGCAGGAGATAAAGCGTTCCATGGTCGCCTTATTCGAATTTAACTTTCGAAATGATATTTTCCTTCGAAAAGAATAACGTTTAACGTTTTCCCGGCGTTTCCTTTTTTCCCGTCGCGGGAGACTCGACTGTTTGATTGCGAAAGATTTAAATTATTCCCTTGTAGGAAAGGATAATTACTATGGAAATCTTCACATTATAATGTTTGCTAAAATCGCATGTTTAATCTATATTTGTTTGCTTAATGCAATTCATAATATACCGAACGTAACTGTCATCTTATCCTGCAAGACATGGATAAATAATTGAGCGATTTTGTGCCGATTCCCTGATAAATCAACTCCGTTATCGAGCCTCCCATGGTATTTCCAGAGTCCGTTGAGCATTGCTGCTCGGGGCTTAAGGTCTACTTGCCGGCGTATCGGGCGCCACTTCTCCTGAATTGATATACTCTCTGCTCGTAGCGATCCCGAGATAATTAGGTTAGTAATTTTCTTCGATTGTTGCAGGAAAACTGCCAAAACTACATAAGAATCATGGCGAAAACCAACGCGGGAAAACTGCTCCTTTGCGGTACCAACGCCTTCAAGCCCCAATGCAGGGAGTACAACGTGATGAATAAGAATTACACGCTGGCAAAAGAAAAACCCGGACAGGCCGTTTGCCCATACGATCCCCATCACAACTCCACAGCCATTTACGTCGGTAAGTAAATTAATAATTACCTCCTAAAGTTCATGCAGATTGGTTCGTATAAATTCGTGTTGGGAAAGTATAAATTGATTTTAGGACATTAATCATTGAATTTAAACGAAACGTAATGCACCGGTTTCCTCAGTTCGCTATTTCAGGAATGATCGAGCGCGATTTTCCGGCGTTGCATGACCGAATTGTAAAAATGGGATGTCTGGAACGATAGAAATCGTACGGAATGTTGCACCAGAAAAATGCCGACCGCTATTAAAAACAGCGAAACCGGATCGATTTTTATTCGAAGCAATACGCTGAGAAAAATATTATGCATTTCCGATCGTATTAAAGTTTTTTTTTAATAGCGAAATACGAGGAGATTATGAAAATGTCGTCGAGCGCAATTAACTATGCATAAAGTTTTCAGTTGAAAGGGGCCCGAATCGAACGCAAACTCACGCAGGATTTATCTTTACATTATGCATTTTTTAATTTGAAGCTGAAAAGCGGCGAGTTTTCGTTTCGAATCTCGCTCGAATTTGATTATAAGTTCGCTTTAAAAATTCATCGAATTAACGGATCGATGGGATACAAACGGATTTTTCCTATAGTTTTTACTCTCATTTCTAAGAAGACTAACAATAAGAAGTATCTTGGGTAAGTAGACTGTGTCGTATAAGCGCCATTAGCGTATGGGAAAATCGATTTTGCTTGTATATACCTAGCGTTACAACAAAGTTGTTTTGATTCAAATCCAAGACCAGAGCCGACGTTAATACGCGCGAGTGATTGATGAACCGTCTTGCCGGAATATGCCTGGTGTGAGGTTTCGTTCGACTGGAAATAAATCAACGACGAACATAGATGTTCCTCTCAGTTAATGGAAACGTCGCTAATACGAAGATGCGTGCACCTGATGCGAAACTATCGAACATCCCCCGTACGCGGCAAGTTTTTGTTTTAATGCCGCAGAATGGATTCGGCAGGAAAATTGAAATCGCTGCGGTTAGGTCGATGCAATTCGGCAATTCACTCTGATGGCCATTTATTCGCAGGACCGTAATCAACTAGCATTTTTAAGGAGTCTATTCGCAACAAAAATAATATTCGCATAATTAGGGAAATTTAGATAATTCTAACGTATTAATTCGGTGCTTGATAGTCCTGTTTCGTATCGGGGTGTATCAAGAATCCTCTAGTGCTCGTATAACTAAATTAATACCTAGCTAAACTGCGGCTTTGCTGTCGAATCGTAGCTTTGTAAGCGAATGCATGAGTGGGCTATTCAATGATTAAAACCCATTCATCATTAATCCCGAATTTTGCTGGCGGTGTTTGGTCCACGTGGCATTATGGCGTTACGTTTCTCGGAAAAAAAGCCGCAATTACGCCGGATTTAATGATGTATGGTTATTACACTGAACCAAAAAAGTACGTGCAGATAATGAAAAAATACATTAATCCAAGAAATTTTTACATTAAAAGTCGTCCAATAAACGATTTCATTAAATCAATGAACGTTTGTTCATTAAGCGATGAAGAGGTACATTAAGTGATGTATAATTCGTTGATATGATGAAATGAAAATCATTGTTTCGATGAATTAAAGTTGCTGACCCAATAAAGAAGTACATTAATTCAATGTAATATTTTACATTGGTTTAATGAACGGTGTACACTGATTCAACAAATTTTAGATTTTTTCTAATAAATGTAGTACATTGATTCAATGAAATGCTTTCATAGAATCAATGAAATGCTTTCATAGAATCAATGAAACTTAGATCTTGGTTTAATGAATTTCTTTTATTGAATTAAGGAATTTTAGCTTTTGAATTAATGAACGCAGTACATTGAATTAATGAATTTGATTTATTAAATTAACGAATTTACATTTTTTGTATTATTGCTAGAAGAAACTGGTCAATCTTCGAAGAATTATTTTCGAATTATTCCATAAAATTCTTTGCATCATACGCTGGGGCGAAATCCATATCGATCTAAAAAAAATTATGGGTTAATATAGTAGACTGTAAATTCCTATCTACATATCTAGTAAGTATATAGATTGCAACATAGGCTATGGGTGCAACAAAGATAACTTCAATTAGACACTTGTAAAGGAAAAAGAAACAGTATGATATTATGTCATTGCAACTTTTCACTCTGACAACTGTTATTTTACTAATATTTCTTTGTTCAACTCATAGAAATGCTCATGTTGCAATCGCGAATGAAGCACGGTGTATAGGTAGGTATACTATTGAAGGTACTCACCAAGCTATATCCAGATGGTCGTTTGTAATAAGTTCATTTTATCATCTGAATTTTTGTGCGTTTTTTATGTCACTCAAGCGAAGTTCCAATACATGCTGCATACGTCGAACTCTTCCGATGATAAATTTTCAAACTTCAGAAGTCTTATGCACGTTTCACAAATGTCTTTGGGGCCTAAAAATTTAATATATCCAATAATTTAATGAGTTGTAGTAAAAACCATAAAAACTTACACACATTTTGTATGAATCTTGAAGTTGTTGCACTTATATCTCCCTTAGGCTTTACGTTTGTGTTTAAAATTAAATCCTAGAAATAAAATGTATAAGTATTAACCTATAGTGTACCGAATTAAAAAATGCTTACCTCTTAAAACAACAGCGCTTGAATTTTCTTCCTTCTTATAATACAAAACGAAAACGAAATTAACTAAACAGAACACTTCCAGTTCAACGCTTCAACACGAAATAACAGGAGAGAAAGAGGGGTAATTAACGGTCAACGCGATTTTCGAAAGCGTCTCTATCTATTTCTTTTTTTCTAATAGAATAGAACGGCATAGATTTGCACTCTAGTGTGTATTGCCAAAATCCAAACTGATATTCATTGACTTAATGAAAAGCGTTCATTAACTCAATGAACTCGAGACAAGAATTTACGTATCCAGTTTGTTGAATCAATGTACGGGCTACATAAAAAATTGCGAATGTGGTTTATCGAACCAATGTATATGCATTCATTGTCTCAATGAACTCGAACATAGAATTTATGTATTAGATTTGTTGAATCAATGTACGGGCAACATTAAAAATGCCGAATGTGTTTTATCGAACTATAATGATGTATATGCGTTCATTGGCTCAATGAACTCGAACATAGGATTTATGTACTCAATTTGTTGAATCAATGTACGGGCAACATAAAAAATGACGAATGTGGTTTATCGAACTAATGTATTAATGTTTTTGGTTCAATAATTAAATTTCATTAAAAGAATGAACAATTCGTTATATTAATGTACAAGTTACTTTGATTTAATGTATCGAATACATTAACTGAAATATTCGCTTTTAATGTACTAGGTTATTATATTAATGATTAAATTTCATTGAATTAATAAAAATTGTTATTGAGTTAATGAAATTTTACATTAATAATTAATGTTACAAGAAACATTGAGTTAATAAATGAATTCATTAACTAATGAATGAAAATTTATTGGATTAATGTATTATTTTATTGAGCTAATGAAAACAAGTTGAAAACATGGTGTTCATTGATATTATGTACCAAAATTTTTTCAGTGTAGTTGCGCGGATGATTTATAATGAAAAGGTATACTCGTATATGCTGTGTGCTCGTCTTATTAGTTTTTTTTTTCATATAGTACTCGTATAAATGTAATTTTGGTGTATAAAACGCCGAATGAGGTTTTAAATAAAATAAAACGCTCACAAATAATTGATGCGATTTCTTTGCCTAAGTTTTTCCATTTGCTGAAACGCCGAGCGAGCGAATTTTTAAATATTTAATTCCGGTGAAACGTTTTTTTTTGTGGAATTTAATTTGCTAAAACGCGAACAGATCTCGATAATCGAGCGTTGTGTTCTCCGGGAAATTGCCGATCGCTAGATATAATAAATTTCCGATTGGAAATAGTTTCCTTCTAATAATGGAGTTCTTGGTATACTCTCGATTTACTCATGAGTGAGAAGATGTTCTCAATTCGCTGAAATAATTGGATTAATTTTTGTATGTATAACAAAAATCTTCAAAATATAATGATTAAAAAATAATTCGTAATTGTCTGATGATTACTCAAACATTGGCAATTAAAAAAGCGAAGAAAAAAATTCTAATATCCGGCAAAAAAAAAAAAAAAAAACGTTGGTTGAAACCCAGCACAAAATTTATAATTTCCCGGAAGTATTAACTGTTTCCATACCTCCCCAGAGATCGATGAGAAAAAAACCGTTTCTTTTTATTCTTCGTTATATCGAAGAAAGAAAATCAACCCGTCTCGATCGGGACTCCAATTTCTAGAAACAGATATTTCGTCAATTCCACCGCCCCTGTTCAAGGGCTATAGAAAAGTACCTATATACAGTGGTGGAGTTGGCAAAATTTATTTCTCACCTCTATTAAAACGCGTTTTAATCTGCATTATGTAATAAAAAATAGCTCTAATTGTGTTCTACTTTATCAAATATAATTAAGAGACAACAGGAAATTGCTCGAAATAAATTTATCGTGATATTTTATTGACTGAACGTCGCTGAATAAGTGGCAATAGTGTAAGAAAAAAAATGTCGGTTACAGACGGAGACTTGTACACGGGCACTGTGGCGGATTTCAGCGGAATGGACCCCATTATCTACAGGGAACCGCTGCAAACCGAACAATACGATTCGATGAGTCTCAACGGTGAGTTTTATTTTTTTATTTCCAACAGCGAATCGCTACTTTTGTTTCTCCTCGAAAACAATCGTTTTCGAGCGATATCCTTTTCTCCCGCTTTAATTTTTTACTTTGCTCACCAGTAAGGTACGATTACACCAACTTCACTGCTCGCTGTCGATTGTACCTATCGCAAATTTCCAATACCGGGCAAATACATTAAACCCAATTGGTCAACAAACCCCCTCAGGTCAATCTGTGTTTACCCCAAACTATGCCGATGCGTGCACACGCAACCCATTAAAACATTCACAGGAATCAGGATCGGATTCGATCCGACGTTTCCAAAGCAAGAAACTTCGATTCATTCAACCTCAGGAGTTCGATAAGCACTTGATTAATACGATTTTCCTTTTCCCCTCTTCGAATTCATTGGGTTTTAATGCTTAAATTCTACTCCATTTCCTTACTAATTATAATAGGTAGTTTTTCTAATTAATTAATTAATCTGATATACGTACATCCTTGATGCTCTACATCCTAGTATGTATGGCGTTGTTATTATTCGAAGGAAATACAATATCCAGCACCTCTGGGCCTTTGCGCGGCTGAACTAGGTTTAGGTGGCGCCGTCAAAGAGCAAAGAATCCGAAAATCCAGCCGCGTAATGCGGAAACTCTCCCGACTCGGGCGTTCGATAACGAGTTGATTAATGCCCGTGCTCTCTTTTCTCGTTCCGCAGCGCCGGATTTCGTCGGATCCATGACCCAGGGGGACTTCGTTTACTTCTTCTTCAGAGAGACGGCCGTCGAATACATCAATTGCGGCAAGGTACGTTGCGTTTTCTCGCTCTATAGTTGCTTACCATAGAGGGTGGGAAATGGGTGTTCTACCGGCCTAACGTCGAGCTTGGATATCGAAAAAATATAATTGCACGACGGAGTCGGTGGTGTTTTCGACGGGGGAAAGCCGAGGAACAAAGTTTCCCCAATCAGGAGAGTCGTATCTGGCTGCGGTTGGAATATTAGATTTCCTCGTAGATACAAATGAAGGCATTTAAAATTTATTTTTAGCCTCGGTCGGCGGTGATTTATATCTCCGTTCGGAACAAACAGCGAAAGCGAAAGCTCCCTTTGAATGAAATATTTATACGTTTCGAAAATTAAACGAATTTCTTAAGGCCGAGAGCTCCGTTTAGATGTCTTAAAATATGTAGTTGGAATTAAACAATTTTTTTCGCAGCGTTTTTATTACGTTTATCGCTCGTTTACAGGCTGTTTACTCGCGCGTCGCGCGAGTGTGCAAGAACGACAGAGGTGGGCCGCATCGTTTTCGCAACCGTTGGACGTCTTTCCTCAAATCAAGATTGAATTGTTCAGTCACCGGGGAATTTCCATTTTCCTTCAATGAAATCCGTAAGTATGGGAAGCTATTCGCAAGCAAAAGGGATATTTTTCGGTCAAATGGCGCTGGAAAAGTTTCGCTTGCACCTAATATTTCATGCATATTTTATCCTAAAACTATGTTATAACCTCGTACAAACTACTCGACTAATTTGTATGCGCGTTTTAAACTGGCTATAAAACAGCGCGGATTTACCCGAACGGCAGTCGAATTTTTCCTGAAGTTCAGTATGTAAAATTTTACGATTCAACGCGATGCGAGCGGAAAACTGAGCTGCAATAAAATAATTTCGCGAAAACACAGCGCATATTTGACGTATTATTCGCAGCACTAAAGAAGGAAGTTTTAATTCTCTAATACACGCCGATTAATTTACCAGTATACAGTATCCCGAATTGGATTTTAGAAGAAAAATGCCCTCCGCGTTTCTCGGAAACTCCGGGCGCGCGACGAATTTAAATTCGCGAAAATCTATCATCGCCAGTTCCGAGACTCCGCCGCAATAGATTCATTTTTCCGACCGGATTAATATTCTATTAACCGGCGACTCCGGTCCGCGCGTGATTGTTTTCAAAAATCAGCCCCGATGAAATATTCGCTACGATCGCTCGTCCGCAGAATCCGCCACCGAGCTGATAGACGGCAAGTACGGCGAGGACCAGGCCCAGCTCATCTACGGCACCTTCACCACGCCGCCCAACAGCATATCGGGCAGCGCCGTCTGCGCCTTCAGCCTGCAGGACATCACCGACACCTTCGAGGGCAACTTCAAGGAGCAGGCGGCCATCAACTCCAACTGGCTGCCGGTGCTCAGCCAGAAGGTGCCCGATCCGCGGCCGGGCCAGTGCCATAACGACAGCAGGACGCTGCCCGATTTGACTCTGAACTTCATCAAAACGCACTCGTTGATGGACGAGAGCGTGCCCAGTTTCTTCGGCCAGCCCATCGTTATACGGACCAGCTTTCAGTGAGTCTCCTCGCACATCAACCGGCTGCTTAACCACCATTTCTTTATCTTTCCAGTTATCGTTTCACTCAAATCGCCGTGGATCCTCAAGTTAAAGTACCCGGAGGTAAAGCTTACGACGTCCTCTTCATCGGAACAGGTACTTTTATCGAACACAACCAATAACTTCTCTTGCTTAATGCATTCTTCTGTAGATAATGGTAAAGTTATAAAAGCCGTTAACGGTTTATCGGCTGATGCAAGGCACGGGGTCCGGCCTGTGGTGGTCGAAGAAATCCAGGTATTCCCGAGTCACGCGCCGGTGCGCGGCATAAAAATACTGCGAGGCGCCAAAAGTAAAGACGAGTCGCGTCTGATCGTCGTCTCCGACACCGAAGTACAATCGCTCAGAGTGCACCGATGCGATAGCAACAAGATATCGAGCTGCAGGTACTTATTTACAACATTCTCATAGTATCGTGTTGCTTAACGGGTGGGTTTGCAGCGAATGCGTGGCCCTCCAGGACCCGTACTGCGCTTGGGACAAGGTCCAGGGCAAGTGCAGGTCGAAGGGAACCGGCAGATGGGGCGAGGAGAGCTATTTCTTCCAAAGCGTCGCCACCGGCGAGCACCAGGCCTGTCCTCCGCTCAAGTTGGGCAAAGACGCCGGATCGGTCGGCGGATTGAGCTCGAGTTTACCGAAATACAATTCGGAGCATTCGCCCAGCAACGACAAACCCGACGGGCAGGTGATCAACATCATCCAGGATAAACCCTTCGAGAGCAGCGGTGAGTACTGTTAGTAGTATATAGAGGAATTGGTGCGATGGATTTCGTTGCAGGTCCGGCGGTAACGGCGGCAGACGCGCTTCCCAACCAATACTCCGTAGAAACTCTTATCATGGCTGTGGTGGCGGGCTCGGTTTCCGCCCTATTCGTGGGCTTCTTCGCCGGTTATCTGTGCGGCAGGAAGTGCCACAAGGACGAGGACGACAACCTGCCCTACCCCGACACCGAGTACGAGTACTTCGAGCAGCGCCAGAACATGAACAGGTACGAAACATCATCATCTTAAAGCTCTTCGACGCTATCGTTTCACCCGCAGTAACTTCTCCTGCAGCCGGATAGCGGCCGAGCCGAAGCTGCTGCCGCAGGAGGAGGTGACCTACGCCGAGCCGGTGCTGGTGCCGCAGCCGCCGCCCAAACTGCACTCGCCCAAGAGCACGCTGCGCAAGGGGCCGCACCAGAACAACGCCGAGACGCTCTTCCAGTTCCAGACCGACGGCGGCTACAACGGACGGGACAACTACAGGGGTCGCGACAACTTCGGCACGCTGCGCTCGCACCAGGTAAATACGACGGGGATCGATCGGGAGCGATTGTAGAGTTAGTTTTTTTGTGGTGAGAGGAACGCGGGAAATACGTTTGAGCATTTCCTGTGGGTCTTCTTTAAGAAGGTATGTCAGTTTCCTCAATGTATAACTTAGTGATAGATATTTGCTATTATGCAAGAAGAAATGTTAAAGTATGTGGATAAGTATTAAAAAAAGAGTATATTTTTAACCAGGATTTACGTTGTTTTTTTTATTTTTGTCAGACTTGGGGTTACAACTACCCTTAAGTTAAGGTAATTCGTTAATTTATCAAAATAACTGTATCATCTTCTTTGTCTTGTCTTCTAAAAAAAAAAACATAGAGACTTTTATTGAATCGAATGAATTTTTGTAGGTATCTATTCGACTAAATGTATATTTTGCATGCCACGTTCCTTCCAATTTTCATTGAAAAGCATGAATTTCTTTTAGTTATTCTGGATTAATTACGGCTAGTCTGGATAATAGACTCTTAACCTAGCGCAGGACTTGTCTCAATAAATTGCTCTTGTCACATTTTCGTCCATATTTATAAAAATGAAGCATTTCCTTTGAAGTAAAAGGTAGAGGCAAAAAATAAGGGAAAATGTCTTAAAACCCTAAATAAAGATTTTAAAATCATAAAACCTTTTGCTTCAAAGCAACAGCAGGGTCCTCGAAGCAAAACCTCTCTTCCTTCTCCTCTTTTTACGCATTTACCTTGAAACAATTCCTTCATTTTTTGAAGCAAAAGGTTGTGCTTCTTTTTCATAAATACTGCCTATTGAATCTAGGTGTCCCATTGAAACTCTTCTAGTGGAACACCAATAGCACCACAGAATGTTTACAATTTGGGCTAGCCTTTTGGGGGATTCACCTAAGGATGATCCCAAAGTACTAATGCATGCTCGAGTACCTTCTCCTGGCATGCCACAATGACCAGTTCCATTGACTTTGGTGCTGCCTCGTTCGGAATCCAGTCCCAAAGTGAAAACCGGGGTTTTCCCGTTTAGTTGTTGCAGGGCGACAACTACCGCCGCGGCGACGGCTTCGCGACGACGCGCAGCGTCAAGAAGGTGTACCTCTGAGAAAACAGCGAGGAGGGGCGAAGCCTGGGCCGCGCCGCCCGTCCGGCGCCGCCGCAGAGGTCCGGCCACAGCGCCTTGCCCACCAGCAGCGGCTCGTCGAGCTCCCCTTCGCCGCCCTCCTCGTCGCCGTCGCCGACGCCCCAGAACACTGCCTCCTACATATACAGGGCGTAGCCGGTTCGCCCGACGGACTAGTACGGTCGAGATAGCACGACGGTGTGGAGCGCCCCCTGCGGGCGGTTTTCGGCAGCTTGATCGTTTGTACGATGGGTTTTTTTGGAGATTTTTTGGATTTAGAACGGAACGCAACTGGTTTAGAAAGCAAAGTAATTAGGCGCGCGACCTAGTTATTAGAGTATTGTAGAGGGCAGTACGTGCATTTTTTAGATACATACGTTTTTCGATTGTAATTCTCATGATTAATAAGTGCTTCTTATGGATGTGTTAGGTAAGATTGTCCTTATAAACAAAAAAAAATGATAGATTGTTATAATTTAGCGACAAAAAAAACATTGTGATTAGATTGTATGATATCCTTTAGCTATAACGTTGTTCCGACTTTGTTAGTCTAGTAAAATCGTTTCGACGATGGAATAATTGGTCGATTTTTATGCGAACTCCATCAGAATTATTTCTATCACTGCATATAATCTATAAGATAAAAAGATTATAACTTTCGAGCGCAGAATAAATTTCAATATTTACATAGATCTATGAGATTTCATTAAAAAATGATCTCTTATTCTATATGTTGATATATAAGAAATAATTCTGGTGTGATTATAACGACATTTTCAACACCTCGACGAAACTTTTAAACTTCAATAATAAGAGAAAAAAATAGATTTACTAGACTATATATCCTTGTTATGAAAATACGCGTATAATCTTCATATTATATCAAACGTGGTCCTCACTTTGCGACCGTCCATATTTTTTTATCTTCGTAAAAAAACCGAGAAAATACCAAAGTGAAAAGTCGCCGTTGCAAGGTGAGGAAATTTCTTCGCTTGGTTTTTCGATTAGTTTACCTATCTAGTAATGTACATAAGACTGATGAAACGAAAGAACTGTAATACTCAGTATCCATTTTTTACGTTAAAGTCATCAAATTAGAAGCCGAAATCGTTTTGATTCGATTGCGAGTAGATGAGAAAAACGACGAAAATGACAATGCTGTTTAATCGATTTTTTTTCTAGTTATTCTAGAAGCTTCACGGGGACGTTTTCGTCGTTTTTCGGCTATCTTAGTGGCTTATTATGATTTGTTAAACATTTGTTTTTCACATTACTCATACAGGAGTGTATAACAAATCAGCAATATGTCAATTATTTGGTGCTTAGCACCGGAACACTAAAGAAATTTCTCGTACTAGCGTAAGTTATTAAGTTTTTAATTGTTGCTCAAATGTTTATTTTAGTTTAAATGTGTATGATTTTTAGATTCGTTAAGAAAACCGACGAGACGTAACAAATTATCCGAGTTTCTCGTCGTTTTTCTCGAGTGATTTTTATCATTTTCTTAGGATATTTTCAGTTAAAACTTCCAGAACGAACTACCCGTGTAATTTCGTTGGCTTTCTGAAGGTTTTAAATGAAACCCACATATACCAAAAATCGTAATGTTAATTTACAGGTAGCTGACGAACAAAACTTCTCAATACAGCTGAAACTCGAACTGTATAAATTTGTAGATAGATTTTTAACGTTACATTATTATTATAACAATAACTAGTCGCGTTACGTATAATGCATTAATAAGACTATTTAAATTCGGCACTCAAAAATCTCATAGACTTAGAAAGTAGACTTTGAACTTTTTTATATTGTAAGAGTGGAAAATCGACTAAGCGTTTTAATGATATTTTTTATGGCTGATCGCATGTTAATGAGAATCGGATTTTTCTCGCTAGCATTTTTGAGGAAATAAATAGGAATTTACTCAAACATCATAATTTAGCTAAATGCTAAATTAACCCGGAATTATCAATTTCCTTGTGCGATTATTATCAATGAAAGTATAAATAATTTCATAGTCGCTTTTAGAGCACGAAAGGAGATCTAATTTCGAGTTTAATTACAGGGTGTTAATTAATTGAACGCCGATACTTAAGGATGTGCAAATTTGGATTTAAGAAGAAAAGTTTATGTCTAAAGTTTATGTGTAAACTTTGTTTATGTCTAAAGTTTATGTGTAAACTTTTCTTCTTAAAATAATCCAAATATTCACATCCTGAAGAATCGGTTCAATTAATTACCACCCTGTATATCTAATACTCATTAAAATGTGATTATAGGCTGAGGAATTGCATTTATTAATCAGCCTCGAGTGTTCCCTATTTTTTTATCGAATAAAAAAAAATGAAAGCGTTTTTATACGATATACAAATGTATTCAAATATAAGTTTTTACCGAGCTAGTGATTTCATATAAGATTACGGTAAAAATACAATAGTTATTTAATAGAGTTTACCTGCAAATATCCCGCTTCTTCCTATTTCCGGGTTTTCGCGTATAAGGCAGACGCCGGATTTATTTGAAACGAGTATATTACAAATTTACTTATACGTTGAGAAGAAAAAAATAGGTTGATAAACTTAGTTTTTAGTTAGTTCGTAAGTATTTGCAAAAAAAAACTCGTAATAATGCAGATATTGTACTGATTCCAGTCGACTTCGGCTGGATGTTCGCCTAAGAAGCCTTTAGATTATAAATAAAATTATAATAAATTATATATATTTATTAGGTGGGTGAGAAAATTATGCTGTGTCTTCAGGCTTCGTGCGTTTCATTAAATTCAAACCGAGTTTTCTTTTATTACTGCATAATCAAAGGTTAATTTAAAATCACTTAAATGGTTTTTAAAGGTTTTTGGAAGAGGTTGGAAGGCAAGCATAAGTTTCACCCGCTTTGTATATAAAATCGTTGCATCATTCATCAGGTTAAATATATTAACATTCCAATACTTGATTAAAAAGGTGAGATATTTAGTGCTCTGCTATTGTCCGAAAAAATGATTAAAATTATTGTCAATATATCTTTAGAATTCGTTTAATAAAAAATATTGAAAAACTGATTAATAATTCTAAACATAGAGAAAAAAAGTGCTGCGATCGTTAGTTGTAATTATAATAATTAAGCCTTTCGCAGATGTACTATATATATTTAAACTATTATGCTCACTTGATCCAGATGCGATTTTTTTTGTAATATTTATATAGGAGCGATTTGTTTTACTTCAGGGAAGTAAGTGCTTACATACATTGAGAAATTTTTCATATAATACAAAAAAAAACTTTTGGAATAACATCCATTTGGATTAAGTGTTTTCCCAAATATTTAATAATTGACTTTAGATGACACAATGTATTCTTTAAATAGAAATAAAAATATATACAAATATTCGACTTTTATTATAACTTTCCAGAAATAGAGCTCATCGAAACGTGAAGCTCAAGAAACATTCAGCCCCAATATCTTCATCTTTTCTCCATTAACTTCTTCATCGAAATCTTTGATAGCCCCGAAAACGTCCTGAGCAATTTTGCTCGAGTGCTCTACGAATTTCAACACATTCTCGTCGAATCCCACGCAAATTTGCAACTTATCGTCGTACGTAAAAAACGTATAAACGATACCTACAAGATCACTCTAATATTCGTAATGCATAAAGCATATACAGTCGGTGCAAAACAAATATCAATGCCCGTCACCTATGATTTACTAAATTATCTAAAATTGTCTAATGGCTAAATTACAAGAACAAATTGATAATTAGGGGTACCTCAATCATCAAACCTTTATCATCTGAAATATATTTAACAGTGCCACTAAAAAAATAGTGTATAATTGACCCTTTTGAATCTGAACTTTTGAATCTGAATTATTTAGAGCTCAAATTGTGTCATTTTTAACATGTTGAAAAGATAACTACGCAAAAAAATGTTGTCTTGATTATTAAGCTGAATAGACTAGTATTTGAGGCTAGTAAACTAGAAAAAAGAAGAACGTGCATTGAAGTTTGTTTTGCACCGACTATACCAAGCAACACATACCCGTGTTTAATTGAGGCGGGACGAAATAAACGTGATCGACTTCGTTATCCCAGATGCTCAATTTCGGACAACCGGGAATGTTACTAACGATTATAATCGTATTGTCGAAATTTTCCAACAAGAAATACAGATGAACGGGCAATATTTGGTTCAGGTAATTCCAAAAGAATTGTCGTGCCTATAACGAAGCTTCCACAGCGTTAGTATTCATAAAAAAGTGCTCGAGCGTACCTGAATGTCGATTAAATTTCTCGAATACCTCGAGTATTCCTTAACCTTATTCAATCTGGAAACGAACGAATCCGATTTTAGCGCTACCGGTAGAGGAAAATGCAGCAGAGAGAATGTATTCAGCAATTTCGAGTCTTCGGCGCTGCTTGGCATGGTCGCCATGAACGGTACTAATTGCAATATCTTATCGGGTGCCCGTTGATTTGTCTGCAAGATTCCGAATTAAACTTCCGAAATTAACAGGTTCCTGTACTTACTTTATCGAAGTAATTGTTAAGGCTTTTGGATACGGCCGTTAGCATGATTTCCAGAAAAGCGGAATCGCCCACTTTTCCCTTGATCCGTTTTACGGTTTGTACGAGCGACCCGTCCAAGTCGCTGCCCGTATAGAATGCCCGTTTTCTCGATACAGCAGGCGACTTGAACGCTTTTTTTCTCGATTTATTCACCAGTTTGTTCCATAAAATGTACCCAGGCGTTAGCAGAAACAAGTGGAGTTGGTACAAATGTTCGGATATTGGTAGCCTTTTCGGCGCGGGTCGTTTTTTCATCGATTCCGCGGCGTGTTTGATGAAATCTATGGGTTCACTGGATAATAATTTCACTAATAGATTCGTAACGGCTATGCCGTCTCCTACGCCGTGGTGCATGCGAACTATCATAACGACTTGGTTTTCTGTAAAGTTTTCCTTGAGTTTCCACGATGCTGGAGCGTCTATGATTATCATTTCCCAGGTTACTGTGTTCTTTCGAGGGAGATCTCTAGTGCTAAATTCGGCGAATATTTCATCGTGAGTTTTAGCGTAATATTCATTGTTTTTCTCAATTTTAATGGTCGATACCAGTTCCTCGGCTTTCAGGGTGGTTTTTAGGAAATATCCATAACCGAGAACCCGGTGAAACGTGCTGGTTAATTTAGGAAACGCCTTGCTTTTGCTTAAAATTTCGGTGGTAATTCTGTTTTTAATAGCTTCAACAAACGTGGGAAAATCGTTGTTTTTTAATGATAATATTATCATTACCGTAATGGCCATTTCGTTCGGTTTCGATATCGTCCAGATCGAGTCGGCCCCTCCAGCAAACCCTGCGAATTTACCGAAGTGCCGGAGTTTCAGGTACAATTTTAGTAAAGACTTGAAAACGTAAAAGAAGGCACAAAGATACAGGAAACTCGGCATGCAAATCATCGATATTAAATAGCATGATAGAATAACTCCGAGATTTTCCAACAGTTTTCTGATTTCTAGAATTAAGAGAAACAAAGAATCTTAAAATGTTCTTGTATATGCATTCCTTTAATTTGTAGATATAAATCTTAGTTGAAACTCTGCTTATCGCAATATGTTCACTATCAAAAATTCGTTCTGTATCAACTGGTACAATATTTTTATCACATTTTTAAGGAAGTGTACGAAATTTTGTATTTAAATTATAATTTATATTCAATTAAAAATTCTTTATTCTACCTCAAATGTTGAAATGACTTTAATTCAGTTCTTCAGTGTACAAAAAAAATTAAAAATTTGTAATCTATATTCAATTAAAAATCGTTTATTCTCCTCAAATGTTTCAATGTTCAAATGTTTAATTTAAATTCAATTAAAATGAAAGTTTCACCCATTTCATGATGGATTTAAGGATTTCATGGATTTCATTTAGGATTTAAGTCTTAAACGATATTACTAATAAAAATGTAACTTAAGGAGAAAATAACAGGAAATTTAGGCACATACCCATTTTAGTATCGACACTTTCAATTCTTTTACTCTACTGAACCATTACAAAACCGAGTGAACCCGTAATGAAATAGTTATCAATAAAATCGATGAAAATAGCTTATTTTTCAAGTCGATAAAGGTCCTGAGGTAGAGGCATGTATACGATATGTAAATCTACATTTATCGTTCATAAAAATTATCGTGGAAAAGTGAGAAAAAAACTCGAAGTAATTGCGACGACACCTTATAGGTATTTCCGTTTCAGGATTCGTTGCGACCGCAAAAGTGCCACGCACATGTGCCTGTACACACGCATATCAATTACCCTTCAAAAATAAGAAACTAAAAATTCAATGCACGTTTCTGTATTAGTGTACACTAGGCGTCTTTATTCTATTTTCGCTTTTTTGTCCCGCTATGCCAGCATGGATGTTTAGTTTTCACTCGTTAAGAAATTTTATGTTCTTGGGATTATTTTTACTGCGATTAGAATCCAAAATCCTGTTGCGAATTCGCATGCATTCATCTCCACTTTCTTTATTCAAATATACAATTCGTTTTACAAATCGAAATTCTGAAGAACCGTTTTCTAATAGACCGGTCCTGCGAGGGACCGTCGCGTCCGCAAATAAAACAAAAAGTCGAAGCCTTTCGACCGGTTTCGTTCGAAATTCACCCTAATCTCTTCGCGCGATAAGCCTTCTATTGGAAGAGAGCTGAGCAGGGAGAGCGTCGTGGAATATTTTGAGTCACTAAGCCAATTGTACACACTTGCTCTGCGTTCCAAAAGACTTCTTAATTCTCAAGCATTAAGGCTCCATGGTGAATTCGATATCTCTCTTAGTAGAATTATGTTTATTTTACTGTCGATTTAATGCTCCAAACTGTGCAAATATTTAACACACGAATACATTTTTATTCTCTTTAAATTAGAATATGCAGTTGACATGAAATAGCAGGATTGTAGGAAGATTCATTGGCCCTTAAAGGTTTGAACAGAGTGCGTTAACACCGCTCCCTGGTTAGTCTTTTAGTCGCTTTTTTGTTCTGTAATTTCATCGAGAGCCCAGTCGAGATGGAGGAGCCGAACGAAACGGCTGTCGCGGATTTTCCAAACGGAGAATTCGTTTTCGAAAATATCACCGAACAGTATGAAAATTCCGATTATTTCCTGCCCAACTGGATCCTAGCGGTTTATTTCGCGTTCGTTTTGATCGGAAGCGCCGTCGATTTGATCTACGTATTGGCCCTTTTGAGGTGCAAAAAGGACGGTAAGTACTTTTCCCTTTAATAAATCTGTTTAACGTTGCGTGATTGTTGCAGGTACGTTCGCGATAATCCTGCAATTGGTACTGGCGGACGCGTTAGCTCCTTTTTTGGCCGTCGTGGAAATTTTAACGATAAACAACAAGACGTGGATTTTCTCGCAAAACACGTGCCAGCTCTACAACGGCTCGGAGGTGCTGATCAACAGCCTGCAACTGTGGCTGGTGATTTGCGCGAATTTCCACGTGATTTCCTTGTGGAATTTGCGCCAGAACGAGCAGGCGCGAAAGCGCAACAACAACCCGCTGACGAGCTGCAGGGACGAGTCCAACGAATGCCTGGTGTCCAGAAGGGAGATCAACATCGATTACAGGCGAAGGAAGGAGGACGTATCGGTGGCGATACCGTGCGTATTGGTTTGGTTTTTCTGCTTGTCGTTGAGCATACCCAATTTGACGTTCTCCTCGGTCATCAAAACGAACAATTTGTCGTGCGTTTTGGTCAACAATTCCTACGGGTACTTCATTCGAATATTGATACTAGTTTTTAGAGTGATCGTACCGTTACCGCTGTTAGTATTTTCGTTGGTATGCATAGTGATAAAATTAACGAAATCCTCTCTCAACGACATCAAGAATATTTTAACCAAAGATATATCGGAAATGCGGCTGTTGCTCGTTTTTTGCGTCTCTTTGACTGTATTGTACTTATGCACGTCGTTTCAAAGGAGCCTTTTCCACGTTCTTCACATCAGCTTCGAGGACTTTTACGACGGAAAGGAATATTTGAAAGTAACCCCGCTTTACCATATACCTTCGAATATTTCGAACAAAATGAGCTTGACTATGCTCCATTACAGCTGCAACACCTTAAGGGTTGTACTGATATTCTGTCTTTTACCCAAATTTAAAGATTTACTAAGGAAGAAAGTGTTCGTTTGCTTGTAGTTTGTATTTCTGTATAAATAGTTAGATTTTTTAATGAATAAATTGTATAAATTATGTTTGTAATTGAGTATAAAGAATACCTATTCATCAATAACGCAAATGATGAATTAGAAGTTCCACCTTGAATTAAACACAACAAAGGACTTTAGCAGGAAAGGAAATAATTTATGGATGAAAATTTACGAAAACACCAACTTACAAAAAAGAAAAAATTATATAGACGTATTCTAATCAGTTAAGAACTATTGTAGTTAGTTTTCAACGGCATTACAACGTATTTAATGTCCGGATTCTGTTTTTTCCTCAACACCTCGGCGGCGTGCTGAAGCTGCAGGGCGCAATCCGGATGAGCGGTGCCCGGCAATTGCAGGCACTCCTGTTCGAAAATGTACGCCAGACCGTTCAACAAATCCAAAAACCCCAAAGAAATCGCCGCCTTCCTCAACCGATTCAACTCCTTCGCAGAAACACGAGCGTTAAAATCCCTATTAAAAACGAAAGATTTCGGCGCACTTACCTTGTAGAATTGCTGCGTCTTCTCCGGCAACTTCCTGGCGTGCCGCAGGATCTTCTGTATGTCGGACTGCAGGCCGGCCTGCTTGATCCACACCACTCCGTTCTGGGAATAGCTCCGCTTCTCCAACGGTTTCACGGGGAACCCTCCGACTTGCTCCGGCGAGAACGAATCGGCCGATCCCAGGTGATTCAAATCCCCCAGCCAAGGGATCGCGTCCGATCCGGGAGTCAGTATGGTCAACATCAAATTGGACTTCTTCTTCGAATCGGCCCAGGAGTACACGAACCCGAACCAATTCTCGCCTAAATACATCGATTTTAATGAAAGTTCGATCTTCCAATCTTAGGAAAGCTTTAGGTGGAAGCATTGGTTCCCAAATAGCCTTTCTCCTCTTACCTATATTAACCAGCGCTGCGACGTTCTCCACTCGAATGGCGCCGTGCAAGAGTACGCAGAACGATGGGATTCTGGCCTCGTCGGTGGCGTCGTCGTCGATGATCTCCAGTTCGCCGGAGGGTTTCTCCTGTTTTTTGGGCGAAGCGGCCTTGACGGGGGAACTGGCCGGTAGGATGAGGTGTCTGCTGACGGCCATGGGGGAGCCGACGTCGGACACGGAAATGAAGCCGCACACTTCGATCAAATCCGATATGATGGTGGTTGTGCTTTCGAAATCGGTGACTTGCGTGTAGGGCTGGAAAGATTGCGGGTGATTATCGAGTAAATAAGAATTTGTGGTTGGTTTACCACCGGGGCTGGGGAAAGGACTATTTTCGATTCCATGTTTCCGCATTTCAACGTTCCTTTGAACGTGGTGTACATATCGTCGGCTAGTTTTTGGAATAAACCGATTACGCTGGATTCGCTGTGGAGATTGTCTGGTATTAAAATGGATCCATCGCTGCCTGTGAGATCGATCAATCGTTGGTAGAGGGGTTTAGCTAAAAAAAATCAATACGATTATTTCGAGCTTTTCAATGGAATATGAGAAATTCTTACATTTTACAAAGTTCGAATCGCTCGGTGTGGTCAAACACACGATATGCAATTTCCCTGGAAACGAAAACGGCACTGGAAAGGGCAATTTTGCGGATCGTTGACTTAAAGTAGCCAGTGATTCTTTCAGCGAATTCGAACCTAATCCCGTATTACCGTCAGTGACTAATAAAACCTTAAAATAAGACATTTATTAATTGCATGCTAACGTTCGAAGGTACTTAAATACCTGACAAGCGGTGTTATTTCCCCATTCGCCGAGGACCATTTGATTTACACCGTGCAAAGCGGTTTCTATGCAAGTCTTATCGTAATCTTCTATATTTTTCAATTCCGCCTTTATCACGTTATAATCTCTAGTGAACGGGCACCTTTCTTCGTACAAAGAAGAAAATGCCATCTGAAACCATTCAATTGTAATGTTAAAAAAATGCGATAAAACCTTTCGTGTAGTAGTAAGAGGAAAATATGGAATAACACGCACAAAAAATAAAGTCAAAGATCTTTAATCGAATAACAAATGAAAGATGAGTGGCTATTTTGTATTATTGCTAAATAAATATACATTTGGATATCCTATAACATTCTGGCGTGTCATTTCGTCGCGACGGAAGCCTGGGCGGCCTTTTTCGCTTTGATGGTCTCCACTAAATCCTTATATCTCTTCATGCAGTCTTTTTTCGATCGGTTCGGTATGCACTCGGCTATTCTGTCCCATCTCTCCGCAGTGGAGGCCGGATAGGTTTTCAGGGCCTGCTCGAGCAGCTGTTGCTCCGAAGTGGTCCACGGGACGTCCGCTTTGGGTTTCAGGTCGCCGTTCGAAATGATCTTCTTCGATTTCTCGCCGTTTTCCGATATGCTGACTTCGTCCATTTTCTTGGAAATGCCGCCGTCGTCGATGTTCAGCACGGGTTTCTTGTCTTTTTTGAAGTTGTCGAAGGCTTGCTTGTTGGCCACCTCTTTGAGATTGTTCTTGGAGAAATCGGCGTTTTGGAGGTCTTTCGCCTTGGCCAGCACCATTTTGGCGTTGAATTTGCTGGTGTTTTGAGAGAAAACTCCGTGCTGGTTGATGAAATTGGCTACGACGTCCCATCGTTGGTTCGTTCCGGCCGGGAATAGATTCACGGCTTTGACTAACAGTTGGATGTTGTCTTCGTTCCATTCAGGCGTCACCATTACAACGGTGGGTGTGTTATTGTCTACGGTTGTCTTCTGTTTGGACGCATTAAGTACCTCTAATCTCTCTTTCTCGAGACTAGCTTCGTTTTCTTTGTAAGCTTTCATAAAGGCCGATTTACCGTTGTTTTTTAGATTCTTATTAAGGTCCTCCAATTCGGCTAGAGAGAGACGTTCGCAAATGCTTTCTAAGGCCGTCATATGCGCTAAATTTTGATCGGAATTATCCGAGTAATAGTTGTTGGCTTTGCAGATGTCTCTAAGGTTTTTCCTTTCTTTCTTCAGGGCTTTCTTCTGCACCTCGCGTTCCTGTCTCTTGGCTTCGATGCGCGCCCGTTCGGCCTGTTCCGCTTGCTCTTTGGCCAATTGGGCCTCTTTCAGGAGCCTTTCTTCCTCGTCTTTCTTGGCCTGGGCGGCGCTTTGTTTGGCCCTTTTGGCCGCCATTTTCTTCTCTTTGTCGTCCTGCTTGAATTTAGCGATTCTGGGATCGTTGTTGTAAGCTAGATCAACTAGTTGACGGATCCTAGACATTTCTTCCTTCTTTTTCCTAAGCCTTTCCGCTTTGTTCAATTTATCCACATACCTAGAAAATATAACATGATCATCTCGATATAAAGTAACATCGAAAATACAAACCTTCGTTCGTCTCTGTCCTGGCATTTATCTTTGTCCTCCTCATCTTCGTACGAGTACTCCCTCCAGGATTTGAAGTCGTACCAGAACGAATAGAAATGTTCTACTTCGGCTCGTGTAGAACCGGAATCGCCTAACTTCGGAACAACCCGACGTTCGGACCAACGGGAATTCAATTCAAAGTAATACTCGAATATCTTGTAAAAGTCTTTCTTTATATCACTAGTGCTGGGTATACCGTTGTCGAAATGTGGATCTACGGAATCGTACGCTCTCCTCTTAGCCAAATTCCCCAAGGTCTCGTAAGCCATTGTGATACAGGTGAAATAGTCATCGTCGGTTTTAATCTCTTCGCCCAACGCTTTCCGTTTGTCGGGATGGTGTTTTAATACTTTCTTACGATAAGCGGTTTTAATGATATCTTCTGAAGCTTTGTACCTCAAATTCGGGATTCCCAATACTTTATAGTGGTCTTGGCTTTTCCATTCTTTCGGGTCCAAGCTTCTCAAGTAATCGACATCGTCTTCGTACTCGACATTCTCGGGAACGTTTTCTTTATTTTCGGGAGTTACGGGTGGGTCGACTTTTAATTTAATTAGCGGATGGTGCAGGAATTTCAATTCGGGTTCCCCTCCGCCCACGTTTTCGTAGACGAATCTGTACCGGATCGCTATCGTCTTGCAAATATCGTTGCTCGCTTTCATTTCACCCATGTTTACTTTCTCATAACCTCCAACACTGTAGTCACATATAAGATCGTGCTTTCTTGAACGTTGCTGTATTTAATGTCGCTATTCGTGAATGTATGAAATAGAATGCGATTTTTAGAATTTTCACTCTTTTATAGATTTTTAACGTTCAGGAAGATATTCCCGCATGGTGAACCATAAAAACCCAAAAGAAAGAACTAAGCCGAAACGTCAAAGTTCAAGGTTGGTAGACGTGAGAGAAAATGACATTGGCAATGTTGCCGAATTTATAAAGTGACAAATTTTTTATTTCATAAATGCATAAAAAAGGCACCATACAAACATTAGAGAATAGAGCAAAAAAAATCAATCTAAATTCTCAAATTGTAACAATTTAATCTTATTAGATAAGGTCAAGTATAATTAAGGAAGCAAAAATCTGGCAACTCTGCGTTTTGCTTATACATCAGATCCTTCACTATTTCACTATTTATTGATTTTAAATAATAAAACTTACCAAAGATATAAATTCCAATTTCGAATGAATACTGAGGTGGTCCAAAAACGCACATATTCCTACTTCTGCCAGTTGCTTCCTAGTTACTGTCTCTAAACTATCTTCTATTTGAACAGGTTTTGTCATGGATAGAGACACATCTAATAATATTATTGTCGGCATTTTTAAAATGTTCTTTAAAACTCACAAAATTGTTCAATTACAATACAACCGTATTTCAATTAATTTCATTTTTGTTTTGTTAATAAAGTTTTTGGTTATATGTCACTTGTCAAATATCGCTTTAAATCTTCTTTTTCTTTATTTTTTTCTGAATATCTTCCTCAGTTGAGGCCTCCTAAATGAAGAATAACAAAATGTCACTGTCAGTTGTCAATACAATTGTCGAAAATGTCGAATTGTGGAAGGGAAAGGGAAGGGAAGTCAGGTGTTACGTTATTAGAGACTTTTTTTTGTGATATTCCGAACTACAATTCTTTAATTAAATTATATCTTTTATGGTTTCCAAGTTCTTTCATGTGAATAGTTAAACAGCCAATAACGCTGTGACGATGTGGTTCGAAGAAATTGAAGAAATATTCAAGGGCTACTTGCCTTATTACATATTAATATTTTTACCGATTTTCATCATCGTTTCTCCTGTTAATCCTGTAACGGGTTCGTCTGAATTTCCTGTATACAGAATGCAACAGTATGATTTACACGGAATCGCTCATGGTATGTCTATTTCACACAAACCCTACTAATTATAGAAATAAGAAAACTAGGTTATTGTAAATTGTAGGTTGTCGCAGTGCTGGGATTAATTTAGAGGCCAAGTCATTGACGGGATGGAGCACACCACGTCATTGCATTGTAGCAAAATTAGGGGATTTAACAGTAGATAGCTTCAAAAACATTAAGCTGAAGGCCGGGGCTCTTTTAATAATGCTACCAAATAACTTGGAAAATCTATCTCCTGAAGACAAGCAGGTTGGTTATCTTTCTTCGAAACCCTTCAGTACTTAATTATATCGTATTTTCAGCACCTTTTGATTCTCGAAAATGCTATGATAGCCCAAGAAATATCAATTCCAGTTTATTTCTCTAAATATTCCCCTGAATTGGAAACGATCGTTAGAGACATCGATATGAATTTAGATACTAACGATATGAGCAAATCTGCTGCCGAGGGAATTATCAATTCAATCGCCGCTAACGGTTATCAAATAGTTGTTTCATCGAGCTCCCCAAGTCTCAGAAACGATGCTAAAATAGCCACAATTCACGGATACATTCCCGGATATAGTTCCGATGGTAAAATCCAAACAATTGTTATTGTGGCTCATTATGATAGTTTCGGAGTTGCACCAGTAAGTTACAGTAATATTGTAATAATATTCACTAATTTATATGCTTTAAGGAATTGTCTTTTGGAGCGGATTCGAATGGGTCAGGAGTAGTTATACTTTTAGAGTTAATCAGATTGTTTTCTGGTCTCTATGCAGAACAGAAAACTAGAGGTAAATTTAATTTGGTGTTCGCGTTGACCGGAGGTGGTAAAATAAACTACCAAGGAAGTAAAAAATGGCTCGAGGATCAATTAGATTCCGTAGATGGTAGTATCATACAGGTAATAATCAGGATTGTTGGGATATTTTCTACTCTAATATCGAATTATTGTTTAGGATGCCTCTTACGTCATGTGTCTGGATACACTAGCTGCGAACGATTCGATTTACATGCACGTTTCCAAGCCCCCTAAAGAGGGTTCCCCATCATCCTTGTTCTATAAAGAATTAAAGGCAGCTGCTCATAATATACATCCTGCAGCTACTGTGGAAGGAGTACACAAAAAGATTAATTTAGCGGATGATATACTCGGGTGGGAGCACGAAAGATACAGCATAAGGCGATTACCGGCTTTCACTTTATCTACGTTGAAAAGTCACAAGGATTTCAGAAAGTACACGATTTCTGATACCCGAGGTAACTTGGACTCTGATAGGTTGATGAGAAATACCAAAATTATTGCCGAGGCTTTGGCTAGGCAAATTTATGGTGTGCCGTCTGGTGAGATTTTTGGAAATTCTTGGGTGAGTTTGCTTGCGATTTTTGTGAAATTTTCCCTACTCTTTAATATCTTTCAGAACATCGATAACAAACACATTGCGGCGTGGATTGATTTTCTGGCTAAGCAGCCGAGATCTCCGCAAATATTGAGTACAAAAGACAATCTATTAGTAGCTACCTTTAAAGATACCTTCAATAAATTCCTACGGGACGTTAGAATAACCAACGCTGTACCAGATAAGAGAGATCCAGATTTTCAATTTTACCAATTATCCAGCGGAACTGTTAATGTGTATAGGTAAAGAAAAATTATTAATAATTTTGGGTAAATATACTTATACTTATTTTTTTTTTAGTGTAAAACCAGCAGTGTTTGATCTCGTCTTAACAATAGGAATTGTAATCTACCTCTTAATTCTCTATTTGTTAATTGAACGTATTCCACTGTTGTACAATTTAGCATGTTCCTTTACCCTAAACGCAAAGATGAAAGTGAACTAAACCTTTTCCAAAAAAAACGAGTAGTGAATGTAGTTTTTTTAATTTTTTTTCTACCTTTAGTTTTTACATCGAATAGTCTCATCCTGTGATTATAAAAAGTAACACTTTCAATAGTATTTTAGTACAACTGTTTTCTCTTGCAATATTAAATTGATGTTATTCCATTGTTTAATTTTTATTACGATTACTTCCCGTTTGTTTAGGAGTTATACAGTAATAGTCTGAGTGAAAGTATTATAATAATTACGACTAGTTTGATGTTGGATAGGAAATATGTTCCTCGTTGCTAATAAAAAAATCAATTTTCGCAAGGCTTTTAATTTTTTCAAAAATATAAATTTTGGCGCTCTTACATAATTTGTACTTTAGGATGTTTATAAATTCTGATAAAAACAGAGTTTTATCAGAACATTCTTAGCATACTTTTCATTATCGATTTACAAAAAAAATTAAAATAATAATTTGGTGTCATGTTTGAAGTAATTATCGATTACAAACATACTTGGTAGACCTACTTTTCCTATTTTACATTAATATTTCACTTTGCTAGTTAAATAATCTATAAATTAAAGTACTGAAACTAACGATTTCATAAATCAAATAACAAAATTCCCTAACTCCCTAAATCAAATCTCACTCAATTACTTGGACAAAGCTTTCCGTTTCGAAGCTCCTAGGAGCAATTGAAACACGAAATGCGTTATTTTTTCGTAAGTCGTAAACATCAACGCCGTAGCAAACACGGTTTGCCACAATTTAGATTCCAGTCCCTTGAACAAAGCGCCGGGACCGTCTTTCTTCAACAACATCAACAACAGCGCCGCTGTACTTAATCTAGGCCCTTTCATGAGCCTCTGCCTCGTTTGAGCAACTTGCAACGGGTAAGTCAGAACTGTCGCTACAGTCTTCGAGATAGCCCCTAGAAGGAAGAACGCAGTGGCAGTTTTCACGTTGACTCTTCTCTTCAAAGCTTCGTATATCGTAAAGTGAATGGCTGGATTCGATACTAGAAGTAACGAAGGCATTACGCCGTTCCAAAGCGTCGAAATTCCTTCTGTTGTTGCTATATGCACCAAGCCATCGAGTAAACCCGTGAATTGCAAGTCCTCGTCTTTTCGTTTCAGCCTGTTATTGACCACCCATAAGGGATTTGTTGTGAGGACATTCACGACACCTAGCATTCAAAATTAATCGCGTAATTGGAAAAATTGTAGTAAAGTGTAATAGTTTAAGGGTTAATAAAAATGCAGCAATAAACTAAAATTAATTAGTTTCAGTAATATAAAAAAACTAACATGTTTGTTACAGGTCTATATCGATACACGGTACTTAACCTTTTGACTTGTTTATCAAAAAACGATATAAACTAAGTAGAATACAAAAAAAGTGGTGTAAGCAGCACTTTTAATTACGTATAATTATTGTTTTAATTAATAGAAAAACGACTTACCAGCGAAAATACTTAATAGCAGATCTGTTCGAGAACTAATCATTTCCTTGGGAATCAACGATTTGAACCCGTGGAATGTGTAGAAATATACGAAAGTTGACACCCCTAAAGTTTGAACTACCGGACTGATACCCCGGTACAGAGATTCTCTAAAAACAAGTAATTTATTAATGAAAATAACGCCATTTTAAATAGGAAAAGTCTACTCACATTCCTTCAGTATTAATTACATGCATTACAGCATCGAATGTAGATTTTTCCGTTACTTCTTTATCTTCGACTAAAAAAAAGTATTTAGTAATTACTTGGAAAAGTACAAGTTAATATACCTACGTTGTTTTTTAAATTTGATCATATCTAGTGGATAAACGCTACTCATGGCGATAATACTAGCCTGAAATTTATTGCAAATATTAAAAATATATGGAAAAATATTATGGATTACTTACAGCAGCCCCTGCAGTCGCATGTACCATGGTTTCGTAGGTAAATATGGTTTTTTGCGGCACTTTCGACATGATGCAATTATTAGGTATTTACAAATCTTCTAATATTGATTTAAAAATAGATTATTAATAATATATCAACCTAATAGAACCATTGAATTCTAAGGTCGCTTTTACCTATACTCGTGACAGAAAACCAACGACGAAATGAACAGACATCTAATAAAATAGTAATAAATGCGATTAAAGGTCAAAACGTTCATTATCGAAACGATGTTTCGTTTCTTTAATCAAAAACTCTAAAAAAATGACAATTACAAAGGTTGAGGTTAAGTAAGAAGCGAGATAAACAATGAAGAGAACTGAATAACTTATTTGAACAAGGCAAAATGTCAAAATAATTATCTTCTATTTTATGACAAATCAAAACATAACCTATTACATTGATTTTTTGAGAAATAAAATAAAATATTTATTTCTGGATACTGGTAGGTAACATTAAATATTTCTAATTATTTTATTTACAAATGCTTCGTTTCAGATTATGTTATATTCTGATCCCGGGGTAAGTTATCATTTTATTGAAAAATATGGACTTTTTCGTAGGATACTTAAGCAAAAACGTGAAAATACTTATAAACCGATTCGATTGTACAAAACCGTTCAACCTCCAGCTAACTCCACCTGGTTACGACTGATACTAATGTTCTGGAACGTGAAAGTGATGAAAGCAGCTTTTCGTTTCGTTGTAGCCGCCTTGATTATGAATCAATACGAAAGGCTCGGATTCGCGGCTTTACTGCTATGTTTCACAATATAGTGTAACTCCTGCGAGATATTATTGTAAAGAATTGTTATTTATTTAGGTCTATTGTGTTTTTTATTGATTTAGACAATCTATTTGTTACAATAAAGCAGTATGTTGAAATCTACGTGTATCTGACTGAATTATCGTAAGATAATTCAAAGGAAAGGTATAATAATAGCGATTGTATTTATATTTTTTTTGTAAAAATGCAGCTTTATTTAAAACCAAATTTTAACAACAGTTGAAACATTAAATTAATTGATATTACACCTCTAATAGTTGACCAAGAGAGTAGCAATGCGCAATTGAAAAGAGGCACTTTCTACAGTTATTTACAACATTTTTTTGTTATACTGAAAAGTTAAACTAAAATTATATCCAATTTTTATCTGAAACATCATTTAGAGATCACATATTTAGTATTGCGCAGGTACATTTACCGAAGACAACATTTTAACGCATAATTTTACCTGTAAACTGTAATTAATCAGGCGGATTATTTTTTTAATCCGCATTTTGCTGTAACGCCAATGTTAATGGTTTAATTAATTTTATTATTTATTTAAATGGTTTTTTTGCACTGTTATGTTGCTACTAAAATTCCACAGTAGATAAAAGTTTCTGAATTTTAAAAGTAAAAAAGCCATTTCGAAATGCTTGTTTGATTAATTTAATATGGGTAATCGGTTTTAAATTGATTATCTTAAACATTTTTTGTAACATTTGACATTACATTTTTACTTTTAAAAGTCGGAATTTAATAATGTGCTGTAAACCCAAACATGTTATATTATAGCTTCTCTCGTTTTAGTCTACATAAACATACTCTCTAGACATGATAACAGCATATGAGCACTTTCGGTAAAAATATAACAAAAAATTTCATAGAACGGCTAGTTTATAAACTATGTGAATTTATTACTTTTACAACTAAACCAAGGTTTTCTTAAAATATTCAATACTTGTCTACGAGGTAGTGTTGAGGTTTTTAATTAACTCCTATTCAAGAATGCGTCCGTATAAAAAGATTCGTTTCAAAGAGATGCAAATCAAACGCAGATTGTCTTATTGAAGAGTTTTTTGAAAGATTTTTTTTTTTTTGAAAAAAGCTGTATTTGATTGAGTAATTCATTTTTTATTAACTATCATAATTAAACTAGAGCGAATGGGAAAAGATAATTAAAATAGTCGATTTACGATTAATTAAAAAAATACTTGACTAAACATTTAATTATACATTTGAAAATTTGCAAAATTCCTCACAGTCCTTATACATATTAATTCTTTAGAACCCTGTATAGAATGCCTACTTCAATTAGAACTTACATATTTTTTTAATTATTATTAACAAGTCCAGTTATCTTAAGAAAACCTTTTGATTTTTTTTCTATAACTTCTCATATATTTTCTTTACTCTACATGTCATATTTAATAAAGCATCTCAATTTATTTTTCAGTCTATGCTAGGATTTCATCATGGCAAAATTGTGAAATCTATAAAATTAAAAGAATGATATAATTGATATTATTTCTTTACAATCTATATATTTAAATAGGTAGTACTAGTTATGTTGCACTGTGACACACAGTATCTCATGTGGGTTTTTTAGTTTTTACGTATACAATTTTATTAATGAAAAATATATATGTAGAAGTTCAAAATTTAAATTTCTCAATACACGTTCCGTGCATAACTGATTTATTAGATGATGAAGTTAATTATTACTTTAACGATTCCTATACTCTTTAAATTATCAAAGACAATGTTTCGTATAAAATCGAGCGTTCTTCAGTCCTTTCACAGTTGCAACATCCCGTAGACGTAACTAAAATGACACATACATTTTACTTATATTGATACTTCAGTCATCTACATTTAAAAAATCACTGTACATTATTTAAAACAAATATCACTCATCAATTTCGAGCATCCCGCACCCGAAATTTTAACTATCTTTTAATAATTGCACTACAATGATTTAAAATTCAGATGATTTTTGATTACTGAAGTCAATTTGCGTACCAATGGCGAGTGACTAATATAGAAAATAATACCGTTTTGCAGATTAGAAAAAACTTACTTAATTACAACATTAGCTAATCCTGTTTTTATCTAAATATTTACAATGAAATTATGAAGTACGCAGTGAAACGAATCATTTTTGGGCTCATTAAAAACGATAATTGATTTCCGGTCAATTGAATTTTAGATGAATGAGCAAATTTTTTATAATTCGTAGATAATTCTATTGAGAATTCATTGCGTTTAGCAATTTAAAAGTAGGTACTGTTTTTGTTGACAAAAAATTAGAATAAGTAAAAAATTGGTCCCAAGAAAATAGTGGACATAGCATAAAATAATTATTCCATGGAGTTGAATATAATAATTGAAATTATATAAATAACTATTTAAATATTGATACATTTTGATTTAATTATTATCGTTTTCAATGCACCCTTAAAAGTTTTTCTATTATCAAATCGATGATATAAAGCAACTTTAATAATACATCACAAGTATTGCATTTCGAAAATAATTTGTTTCTTCTGCCAGTAGTTTGATTCAATTGAACTATTGCTTTAAAGTGAGCGCCATCGGACCTCTTCGTCCGATAACTAATACGCTAACTCGACTCGTAGAGCACTATAAATATTCGAAAAACAACCCTAAATTCATGAAAATTGTAGGAATTCTTGTGCTCTTTAGTCGAAGTCGTAACGAACAAAATATTCTACAAGTCACTCGAAAAATATAAAATATCTAAATACGAAACAAGCGAAATCTCGATACCTCGTGTTCTTTTAACTTACATTCTAATTGTTCAATTCAAAAATATCGCAAGCGTATGACAGCTAAAAGAATTACAAATCGATTTTTAACATTGAAATCTCGAACGAAAAGTAGACCATTTTCAGACGTCCGTATTGTAGATCACAGCTAATGTGAAGAGTCCCTTCTTTAAATGTAATTTATAAAGTTGTTCAGTCATGCCAATCACCTGGATCTTTCAATATCCCATCACGCAGGTTTTGAAATATGCATCAATTTTGTTTGATTTTTTGCTTGATCGGGTGATTGATATGAAAAGTGGCTACTTTCAATGAAAAGCAAAGAGGGGAATAACAGATGGAATATTCAAAAAGTTCACTACCTTTAATAGTATTTTTTCATTTCTTTATCAACGAGTATTTAAATTTAAATTGTAGATAATATTAATTTCGAATTGCAAAAGTGTTCGTAGTATTTGGCACTTTTTAAATTGCTTAATAAACTCATAAAACAAATTTATAGAGCTTAACGGGTTGGGTAAGAACTTTTTGATTATCCTGGTAGAAAAATAACTTTTCCATGTTGACTTATTCCTCTCGTTTATCATAGAAGAAAGCACATCTTTGCGTTTCGTTCCTGCGGCGTCATAGGTACATTTGAACTCCTTATCTAAGAAAAACATTAGGCCTAACCTACTTTTTGGTTTCTAATGTATTTCATACCGCAGGAATGTTCATTTTCTTAACGTAGAGCCGTTGCACGTTTCGTAGAACCGCGGTTTCTGGTTGCATTTTCACAATTAAAATCTCCACCATCCCATTCGGATTAACTAGACTAGAAAATTTCAACAGGGAAAATTACCGAAATTTCATTATAAATTTCCAATTACAAAATAGTTTCGTTCGCTCCGGATATGTTATTGTTTTAGGAATGGCGATGGTAAGAGATTGTTGAAAAAGTAAACGTGAAGAGGAAATTACATTGGATAGTTGCTAGGTAGAAAATGGGTAATTAAAAATAGATATTTCGGGCACTTGTATGAGTTGTATGTCGTGCCAGTTGCCTTGTTAACAAACTTTCGTTCTTTAATATTTTCGGTTTTTATAAAATATTGATTTCTTCAGCGTTAAATTGACGTTATTTCAATTTTTCAATTCCTAATGCTTTTTTCCGAATAAAACCGAAGGTAAAGACAAAACCACCTTTATGTCTTTGGCCCGAGTTTTAAATAAATGGTTTCCACGTTTACTTTTTACAAGAGAAATAAAATATTTGCCTATAAAATTATCATTAAGCATAACTTTGTAATGTGCATTTTTCTAGTATTTCATTGCGTTTACAATATACGTCCTGTTTTTAATTTATAAAATGCTTCCGTATTTACAAGTTTGTAGGGTAATATATCAAGAGGGTTTTTATTCGTACTTTGCTATTACGTTACAATAATTGTGCAGGCTTTATTGCAGGGGTTTCATTAATGCAGCTTCTATGTTATTTATACTTAGTCAGACTGCAGGCATATTTATCTTGAAAAATTTATAAGATTAAAACGCATCTATTAAAATAATATTTCTTACAAAACGAGAATAAAAAATATTCGGATATGTAATTTTATTACTTTAAAAAATAGAAATAAACGAGATAGAATCAATAATATTTTTTGCTAAAACAGGTTCGCTAAGTTTCCCATTCGTTTGTATATTTAAATTTTTATTTAATCACAAATCCAGCCGTATTGCTTCAAAACGAGTTTTTTAAATATACACTAATAAAAATTGATGACGTTCACAAAATCATCACTGTCTCAGTCATCTAAACAGGCAAACGCAAAATCAAGAACGGGGAGTGCCCAAAAACCGGGTTTGTGTAGTCTTTAATATCCAATATAAATTTGTTGAGCACCTAAATTATTAAAGCTAAACTTTATAGTTCTAATATTGCACAATTCTAGCGAAGTGTCCGCTATCACTTGCTTCGAAAACAACGTGAAAATAAAACACCTTTTGCGTTATCGCACGCACTAGCGCAGTGTATAGCCAGATCAATGGTGGTCCGTGCGCAGAATCAGTGCCGCTGTGGCCACAGTCAGCACTGGCATCTGGCACAGTTGCTCCGACAACACTGAACACTAGTGCGTGGAGTGCCGTCATTGCAGGCTCGACTCCTTGTGGAACGTATCGGATTTGTGGAACGATATCCGCCCGTTGTTCTCGCTGCTCCTGAACAGCGACATGTCCTGCGAGGCGAAGTTGTTCTCCGACTTCGGCCTGGGCAACGTCAGCTTCTGCAGGTTCCAGCCAATCTCGCGCAGGTCCCTGTCGCTGGAATGGAGCCGCGACATTGATTCGTTGGACATATTTACATTATCCGCTTCGGCGGCGAGGGCGTTCACCACGGCGTTGATGGTCTTGCTTTCGCTGCCGAGGTCTTCTTCTCGGTGCACCAGGAGGTTCGGGTTTTTGCCTATTTTGTTTAGCCTGCAGGAAAGGATGTATCAAACATTTTCCGATCGTTTCTAAGCGAGCTAACATCGAAGAATTTAGGTAGGTTTTGCGGAAAATGTTGTATACACACTACTGTATCATAACACACTACTATTGGTTTCAATTTGCTACCTAAACAGCTTCTGATATTAGATCAATGGAGAAAACGAATGGTCTGCGAAATAAAGGTTGAAAGCTGATCAATGGGATGCTTTCTAAATCGATTTAGCTTCTTGTGTGTATCTGTGTGCTATACCGAAGTGTTTTAATAAATTATGTGTGTTTTATTCGAACCGCTACTTTTGTGTGTCTCGTGTAGTTGTGGTGTATTCTGAGTTTACCATATTATAATCGTCGATAAATTGATAATTTTAGAAATATTGTAATTGGTATTTTATAATGGTAGTACTTACTTTATGGCATTCGCTTCGATTCTGTTATGAAATAATTGGAACAAATGAAATTATTTGATATAAAATGTTCATTCTGATGTTAGCAAGTGTGGTTGTGAAAAAATCTGTAAAAAAATAAAAATATTATATAACCCACCGTACCGTTATGAGTTGCACATACCGACCCAGGTTATGTTTTTCACACCAAGCGACTTAAACTAGTTAATTATAAAGATGGTTATAATATGGTAAACACATTTGCATAAATAGGCTACATGGTTAAGGTGATATTATGAAGGTTAAAATACGTGTGTCACCTTAATAACTCAGAAAATCGTGAACATCAAAGGGTTAATGTTTGAAACACCAACTTTTAAACAAAAAAATTTACTTTCCCGTTTCCACCAAATTTTGATGCTATCGCAACATTTGCGTTTACAATAAAATCAAAAATTAATGAAAACTTCAATTAAAGATTTATAAAAACAAGGCAGTTGTTGTAGAAATTTAAAATGTAATTGTAATTTTATTGAAAGCAAAAAATAATTATCTACTGCCTTATTTTTGCAACAGTTACTCGTTAAGCTGATGTCGATTGTTTGCTACACATTGAAACTTAACTGTGAATTCGCAGAAATAACGAAAAAAATTTTAGCAAACGCATCGAACTTAACCGAACCGAATCTTTCATCTCAAGGAAACAAACCACCAAGATAGAGAATGAGAGCACACAGCAAGCAAGCGATACATACGAATATATATAACGAACATAATTTAATAAAACCTCTTCAGGTTCCTTATACCAACCAACGCACTGACCTCTCCGCAGCGACCGATTCCATTGTGCGACGCATCAGCGGGTACTGATCGAGTACAGCGTTGAAATGATCCACGGATAACGAAAACAAATTACAATAGGTCTCCGCCCTGACGGACGCCACCCTGCGGGCGTTCGTCAGCAGACAGATCTCACCGAAGTAGGAGCCGTCGCTCAGGCTGGTCGCCACCTCCCCGTTAGCCATCACGATGTCGACTATACCTTCTTGTATGAAGTACATCTTGGAACCGATGGTTCCTTCCTTTATAATAATATCACCTGCACAACGAAGCGGCGTTAGAAAAAACCGGGCGGCGCGACGGCTGGGTACTCACCAGGTTGGAAGACTTCATATTTCAGCTTAGTAACGACGTCGGAGACGAAATTGGAGTCGGCGTTGGCGAAGAACGGCACCGACGCCACCAGGGAGCGGCAGTTGTAGTTGATGACGTCCTCGCGCAGCTTCTCCGAGAGCTCGCCCAGGATGCACTCCTCGTCGAAGAACTTGCCCTGGTAGCGGTGCTCGAAGTACTCGGTGATGCGCTGGCGCATCTCGCGCGGCAGCTTCCGGTACGCCATGTACTCCTCCACTTGCTTTACCTGGTAGGTGCAGTAAGGAAATGTGCACGAGATAAGTTACTTAGGCTCGGGCTGCAGTTTTTTTTACGTTGAATATTTACCAATGGATTTGGGGATAGGAGGAGAAGCAGAGAAGTTGGTGGAAAGTGTTGAAAATGTGGTAAGTGGTGTGGTAAATGTGGTTGGTTAGCCAATCACCATGTATTTATATGGGTATGGCTATATTTTGGGATCTTATTATTTCCATTTGGAGTACGTTTTGTTACGTATTTGTTGTTATTTTAAGATCACAAAATATCAATATTTTAATCCTTACACACATGTCTAGTCCTTAGAGCACTTTTTAACTATTTTGATAAATACCTATTTTAATTATTGAACTTTGAGTATTAAAAAAGCTCTATGGACTAGCAAAAAACTTAATTTATCATCAATAACCAGTGAAATGAACCTTCACCATGTCGACGTTTTAAAATTTCCTGAAGGAAATGTACAGTTCATTTTACCAGCAAAAAATGCTATAGTGTCCAAATTATAGTTGAGTAAGTGATTGAATTGCTGAAAATGTAGTAAGAAATTTATCTACTCAATTTTAATGAGGACTCCATAAAATATATGTGAATAACATTTTAATTGTTAATGACTGCAGAAATTCGTGCTTATCAAAAGTGCCTGAGAAAGTTTTATGTACAGTTTATGTACAATTTGTTATTTAGAAAATGCATGTTAAATACATAATGTGTTAGATTTAGTTATCGAAATTCAAAAAGTAAGAAATATTAGTTTGTTAATTGATATTCAAGTCTTACACACAAGTGATTGTTAAATAATATAATATGAATTATTTATTAGTATGAATGCAAACTATTTAAAATTTATAATATTCACAATTATATTTTAAGTCAAATTGTAATTTCCATTCATGCTAATTTTATTAGTAATCTTTAATACGCACCCTGAAAGAAGTGAATCAATACTAAAAAGATAATAAAAGATTGGCATGCATTCGACAGCATTTTACAAGACCGATCAAAACAATGTTTATAAATAGCAGGGATGATTGATTGAATAACTGCGATAAATTGGCAGTATTTTCGATTTTGAAAGAATAATTTTACCATTACTTCGACTGGTCTGTGTCAAAATGGCGCCACCCAAAAACCAATTAGAAATAGAAAACAAATCCCCCATTCCATCATATCTGAACTTTCAAAAAAATTTTCATCTAATGCCAATCAAAAATTCGTTTTACATCAAATCTGTTCAACATGCTGCTGTTAACAGGCACAGCTTCAATCGCGTATTAATCATATTATAGTTCAACAAGGAGTAATAATTTGTTAGTTTCAGAAATAATTATAGCCACACGAAAGGCCTTCAAAACTATCTAAATTATTACCTGCATTTCAAACCTATAATATTGGCAGTACTGTTTTTGACAAACAAGAAACCGCAGCCAGATAGAGCCCTCTTTACCTTTTCTCTGTACTGCCTCCTGGACGAGTCCAAGCTCTGTATCAAATTGGTCGCGTGACCCAAGAATAAGGCATAACAGGTGGCGCCGGATATCATGGACAGCATCGTCAGCCACATGTCCGTCAGAGACTGGGGCGGGAACCTCCCGTACCCAATGCAAAGCATGTGGGACATGGCCTTGAACAGGGCCCAGGAGTATTGCTCTAACCAAGACACTTCCTGCAAAAGTTTTTCAGTGAACGAGTCGAGGATACAATGGGTGGGTAACCGACCTGCAGTTCGTTGATGGCAACCCAAGAATTCGGCGGGAATCCCTGCAGCATGGGCACTAAAAATTGCAAGCAGCCCGACCAGTGACCGATAAGAAGCATCATACAAATTAAGTTGAATATCCTCATAAAGACGCTGGCCATATTTAAAAACTGTAATACAAAAAAGAAGTGAGATTTTCGCCTGCGAAACGCGCTTTCATCCTGCTGGGGTTGATCTCATCCTGCACTAGAACGAGATCAACGATTCGAGAACTAACGAAAATGTTGTACGTGTGGAGAATTTTCGCTAGTTATAAATCTAAAATCTTATAACGTAAGAAACAAACTACAAAATAAAGTACATAATACAACGCCGCAACGAAAATTAAGGTAAGAACTTCAAAATGTTTATCGTGTCAACCGTGTAGAGTAAAACTAATTGGACCAGTTATTGGCATGTCAAGAACTTAACCATTATTTTGTCTGTCTTTCGAACCTAAAATGTAGCTAAACAAACGGTGTTCAAAGCACAAAAAAACTTCAAAAAGCAACCTCTCTTCTTAGAAGCTTCATCCTCTGAATAGATACGGAAATATCTACCTCTATACGTACGTAAATTTTTTCATTGGACCATCACAAAATGTTATTTGATTTCCTTCACAAGGATAAGAAGCAATGATGAATGATTGATAAGGCTGTTAGTAAAATTAGCAGAGGCTCATCTTGATTGATTAATTTATTTTTTAGAGAAATATAAATCGGTTGATTTTTGGAATTTATTCTAATTCCTAACTACCTATAGTGTATAAACTTACCTTTAATAAATATTACGATCTCGAGCAAATTTTCAAGCATGCACGGTACCTAATAATTATTAGAAAAACCAGTATTTTTCGTAGTATATACAGCCAATTTACCCCCATCTAATCACCTAAATTAATTACTTCATACACTCTACTAATTAAGCTGTTTTTATTACTCAACTCCTATATTTCATATTGGCTTTTCTATTAACTCTAAGCCTGGAATAAGAAGTGGAAACCATGTGAAGTGTTTTTAGAGTATTCTAAATCATGTGTCACATGCACAAGAAGCACTGTAGTTTGCAGTTAAAAAATACGTGGGCTTCGGATAGCTTGTATATTCTTCAGTAATTAATTACCCAAAGTAGTTAAAAGATAATTTTAATTACTGCCGCGTGGCTTAATAAGTTTTCGTAAAATCAGGTAGAATTGCCAACAGATAGAGCAGAATTGGTTGTTTTCCAGTGCAGTATAAGGACAAGTTAAGAGTGAAGGAGAATGTTTGAGGAATGTTTGTAAATATCTATTATTATGAAGATGTCGAAGATAATCTGTACGATATAATCACTTAAATATTAGTTATAAACCATCTCCTAAAGATAATAATAAATTCCATTGGATAAGATTTCGATAATATTTTGAAAATTTCTACCTGACCGATTACGAATAGTAGATACATTATGAGCATATAAAAAAAAGCTGAGGCGCCGCGGTACGGGCATGCGCAATGCCAAGCAAGTCCGAAGCGGGTTACCTTAAAGATGAGATTGCTTTTGGTGCTACTAAACTTGCTGACGTCCGAACTGAGGCGCCCCCTCCGTTCTGTTCGCTTTTTTTGAAGATTCTGCAATATCTAGAAAAAGCGGAGAACACAAGGTAGTAGAGAAAAGCGTGGCACGCTAGATTCCAGAAGAACGACTTAAATAGAGAGTAGTTAATAAAACAGTCGGTTGGTTTTCGTTTGCGATACGGTCGATTTTTCAGCACGTCTACGCACTTTTACTGCATTATTATGCACTAAAAACTCGACCGAATCGCTAAAGCTCGACTCGATTTCACCGTCTGATCTTCCGAAGAAAAGTCAGAGGAAGAAATCGTTCGGAAACTACAAAACCGAGAAAGCATTAGTCGTGATTTTGTTAACGATTTGCTCAAAGAACAACAGAAAATAAATAGGTGCTGTGCAAAGCGACACGGACAGAGCAACAGGCATGCTAAGATAAGACAGTATCTGATGGTGTGAAGGAGATATGAAGGCATTCAAACTACTCGGAATACTTCCAACATACAAATGGATTCGTTATCGAAGATGATTCACTACAATGGATTGTGAAGATATAAATATTTTGTAGTGTTCATTTGGATTTGGTAAACTACGTCTAATGGTTTCTGTAATATGTAATTCGCTTGTAATCGTATTATCACATTAATAAACCATTAAACAAGAAGATTATTTCAATTAAATTAAATAGTTTAATTGGCAGTTAGTAGAGAAACGAAAGATTAGTGGATTTATAGGTATAGAACAGTGAAGAGAAGCTTTAGAATAAATTTAAACTCATCTTGTAATAATTACCAATTTATGTCAATTAGTTTTGACATGTTCTAAATGAATGATAACTACTCTAGTGAATATATAAGATTTCTTAGCTATCCATCTATTTAACTATTTCGCTAACATGAAGTGCAGAATAGAACAGATTATTGTTTATTGTTACGAGTTGTTTTTGATTGTTTTCCTGCGTGTAACCCCTGACTTTTAAAACCTTCTTCCTTTATGCCTTCAGAATAGCAGGATACATAAAGGAAGAACCACCTAACTTCATCGCTTTTTCTATTAAACTTCCATTACTGCGTGAAACTAACGATGATCTAACACCAAACACCAATAACTTACTGATACTGATAAGCGCAGATGATCTCAATGATATGTTTTTTCGTATGCTACTGCCTCGGTATTAAAAAATAAATCTTCTAACACTGTCAAAAACGTGCGCAAACGTTTCCATTTTTTTTATAATAATTCTATTGTTGCTGTGCATTTGTTAAGGGTGGTAGTATATGTAGAACAAATGTAAGTAGTAAATTATATTTCTTCAGTAGGCACTTGAAATGGATTCATAAAAATGTAGAAAATAAAAAAAATATTGAGGAAATTGTGATGTAGAATTTTTAAGTAAATTCAGTAAATATCTGCCAATTGTTGGTAGAAAATGGAACATAAACTAGTGATTTTCAAATACACAGCAGCATTTAGGTAACTTATCGCTTCTAATTTCTATTAAACATTAACATTCACAATTTATAACAAGGATTCGATGCTTCGTTTCTGAGAAATGCTTGGCTTATTAATATTATTTTCTAAATTTCGCGCAAACTTTGAACAAAAAATCAAGCTCCAAATGAAATTAAGATAAAATGTCTATAAGATCAAAATAGTAACTTTGGAGACCTCTAAATAAATAGGCTTGAAATCTATTTGGAATCTTTTTTTTGATCGACTGAGTACCTACTTATCCAGTTAAAAATTAAATTGGGATAAATAGAAGAAACGATTTTCAGCACCATTTCGCATGAAAGCATTGAATCCGTCAGAAAATAAACGAAACGAAAAAAAAAATAAATAAACAACTTCAAGCGCCACTGCCATCATTCAAATAACCACCAAAAAACACCATAAACGGCAGACAGACAGAATATTATGTATAAAAATAGCACCTCGCTGGTCCAGTCACTAGGCGGGAGTATGGGAGTACCGTCGGCGGCTAATTGGGTCTGACTCCCAGCTGGGTGCTGGTACATAGGTATCTGCGCAGCCCAAATACTTAATTTTTCAAAATTGGGAAGTCTCCTATGCCACACAACAACTTCCAACATTTTTCATTTTTACTCTAAACACCAGTTTTTTACTCCTCAAATTACGCACTTTAAAAAAACATTCCACCAAATATTTAATTATAGGTATTACTTTGATACTCTTTATAATAAATTAAAACACCTCTTATTAATATTTAATTATGTTATATTAATTACTTAATTATGATTTAATAAACGTTATGATATTGCTGTGTGGCACAATAATTGGTTTCGTTTTCCGAGCATGATACCGTATTTAGCGATTTTTAATGAGATGCGATTAATAAAACAGCATTAATATCGTCTGTCACCAATAATGCGATATCGAATAAATAAAAATCGTGTCTGTAATCGTACGTGTACGTGTTCAAATAAGTCTTAGTGGAAAGATTAAAATTGAAAAAAAAAATCGGAGCAAGTTCGAATTGAATAGAATAAAAATAAGCTGAGGCTACTTTTACGAAATCATGACGGTTTTTGTATGTAGAAGGGAAATAATTCGCTGTACGTATGTACGTAGTACCTAGTTTTCCGGCTCATCGATGGTAAAATACCAATTATCAAGTTCCATCGTCTGTTTTTCTCCTCGTTAATCATAAGATAAAGTGCTGAGCATAAATCTGAGCCGAGCTCAGAGAATAGAAATCCGGCGATTGCGGTAGAAGCAGGAACGAATTATTCCCCTGAGTTACAAATTTCAGCTTGCGATCGCAATGAAAAGCCGATATAACGACGATTTTAAAAGGCTGCATACGTACAGGGTGTCCCAGCAATAAAGTAACAGGAATTTTGCAATTAATTAACCTATTAACTAAGGAAATACCGCTTGTTTGTAATTAAAAAGTCGCTCTTAAAAGCGCGCACTTATTGAACAAAAAATAACATCAAAGTTGTTTTCGAAACTATCGCGCCAGGGCGATTTTATTAGAAACTTTTACTGCTTTCCTCCTGCGCTTCAAATGCAAATTGAATTTCGAATCGACTACAGGGAAATTTTTCTTTTGATCTAAAACGTAGTGAATGCAAAATAACGAAAAAATGTTTACATATTCAACACCCAAATACCGTATTTTAATAATAAGATTCTTTTATGCAAATATCTATTATATTTCAACGCATTATAGGATCCTATTTAATTCTATTTATGGAAACATTTTATTAATAACGTAATGAAAGTACATGCAGAATTCTTTGGTTACTTTAATATTGAAACACCTTGTATCGTAAGCTGAAATGTGCGAACGAGTAACAATGAGAACTGTGCGGTAAAATTGCAAACTTAGCCTTTCATTCCAAGCACGGCTGAGCTCGATATTGCGGTAAGCTCCAAGCATTTCTTTCGCTCTATTATTCGATAATTTATTCAAGGAACACTCAGCTACAGAAATATTTTACCGGAAGAAATTTATAACAATATTTCTGTTAGGTTGATAATTACAATTTAGGCGTCAGTTTACAATTTTTTATTCAATAAATACCTGCAAATTTAAATAACAATGAAGGGCGTAAAATGACTTGCGCTTTAAGTTCGTTCGAATAAATGCGTAAAAGAATATAATAATTGTAGTACAAGAGTTTGCACGAGCGAAACACAGTTTTGAACTTTCCACCGTGTTTATGGTACCATTGTATAACGAATGCGTGAAAGCTCATGAGCGCGTCACTACGATAGACAGTAAAAAAATATAGGGACATTGCTTCAGTACTTACGTATACTTCCTCCCATTGGCTGACGTACCGCACCAGCCTAGACAATCGCAGCAATCGGACCAAGGACAACAATTTGGCGAGACGCAGGATGCGCAAGGCGCGTCCCGCGTGCAGGATTTGGAAACTGTCGCCGTAATCCTGGAACAGAGGTTTTAAAAGTACGGGTAATTGCAAGGGTCTACATACAGCCCAACAGATATCTAAACAGATAACAAACAGTCCAGTCCGCATTCCTTTGGGGTTAGTACGGTGTACGAACGAATAGGTATTTATGCACATTTTACTTACTATGTGTTTAATCGTAAAGAAATTTAGAGGAATTAGATTAAGGTGTCGTGCAGGAGATTTGTTAGTGTTTGAGTCAATACATGCGATTAGAATGATTTTGTAATTACAATAGTTAGACACTAATTAGCAATATGAAAAATTTGTTAAAAGTAAATGATTGTTTTATATGTTGTTTTTTATGTTCTCCAATCTTCTCAATTGAAATTTTCAATCGTGCATAATTGTAATATCAATACAAGTTGTTTACCACGATGACTAAGGGTCAATTAATAACAGCTACACATGTACTGAAATGTACTGAAATCATAATTTTTTTAAATCATTTCCAAAGAAACTACTATTCTCCGTTTTAAATGCACTATATTCAGTAATGCAAACCTAACATTTATTTTTGTTACACACATCATGCACAGAGGTAAACATTTATTTAATGATGCCTTGTGCAAATTCGATTCGGTTTAAATAATTATGCATTGTTAAATACTGAGTAATGCATTGAAAGGTTGTAGATTGAAGGTGGGAAATACCTACACATTTTCCTAAAACACATTTACTAACACCAATAAAAGTTTGCATGTTACAATAATTGAGTTATACTTAAATAGTAAAAAAAATTGATGCAAACTTTTTCGAATAGTTTCATTATACCAGGTTTTCATTAAAAAAATTTATGAATAACGAAAACGCAGTACAACAAAACGAGGAAATTTTTTATATAAGAGAACTCCACTTACTTGGTTGAATATTAAAAATATATAATCTAAGGGAATGGACGAAATCAGGTCGAGGAAGAACCACGTCCTCAAGTAATGCTTAGCTATAAGTTTCGGATCTAATATGACTTGCTCGGCATTGTCTTGTTGCATAATACCTGCAAAAACGAAACCGACGGTTTTCACTCGCTGTTCCCATTGGGAAAACCTCAACTTACCCGTTCTAAAGTTCACAACAATGTCGATTAAAAAAATTGTATCGGACAGACAGTTGAAGGCAATCCACCGCGTGCTCAAGTCGTCGTTGAAGAAACTTATCGCTACAGGCAGGATGATCAAATTCGCCACCAATAACAGCAACATGCACAAGTCCCAGTAAAATCTACAAATAAATCATCAACAATCACTAATAATCGATACTCAATTTATCATCGATTTAGTTAGTAATTCAGGCATCAAATAAACTTTTTTGACGTATTTTATTTGTCAAACGCGCCACTAAAAGTTGCGGATTTTTTCTCGGATTTCAAAGAAATTTACGTTGAAATGCCTATTATCAAAAATATAAAATTTTCCAGTATGTTGAAGTTAACAAACACAAAAACGTGTTTGAATTACCCAAGGTAAGCATATTTTATTGTAACCGTAGAATTTAAAGCTCTATGTTACAGGAAGTTTAGTTCGAACCAGGACATAAATGATTCAAATGCTCCATTCTCGGCCAAAATAATTATGGTAACAGGTGACTCGTGTGGAATTGGGCAGCAAATTGCTAATAGTTTCCTAAAAGCGCAAGCTAAGGTAAAAATATTGCTAGAAATGCAGAGAAATTCTAACAATTCGTAGGCGGTAATTTTAGCAGATGCAAATTTACGTAAACCAGAAGATTCTAAAGTTATTAACAAGCCTAAAACAAAAAGGATTTTGTTTGAAACGATTAGCGCTGTGGAAAAAGGAAATTTATATAGTAAAAATTTTTTTTTAATTTGATGTACCTAATGATTATCGATTTTTCTATATTACAGGATTATTCAAATACACTAAGGAAACTTATAAAAATATCAACATAGTAATAAACAATGCAGGCGATAATTTGGAATCAGCCCAAGAAAAAAACATTAATAATAATGTTGTATGAAATATATCACACATCCAGATTTTCTCTTATTAAACAACTCCTGATTTTAGGCCAGTTTAGTGAAAGGAACACTCCTAGGATTCCAGGAAATGCAAGGAACTGGTGGAATTATTCTCAACATGACAACACTTAGGGAACGAGAACCTTCCAATAATTCACCAATATTCAATCAAATTAATCGATTCGTAATAAAATTTTCCAGAAATTTGAGCAAAAACTATTTTAATAAACCGACCAATGTTAACGTAATGACTATCTGTCCTTTTATCAGTAAAAATAAGGAAGTTTTGTCTCTGAAGGAAATAGATAAAATGTAGGTCAATAATAAATTGATAAATTAGCGGGTTTAGATAAATTTAATGTTTGGTTTCAGACAGTTAAGTGAAGCAATTTTAATGGTGCTTAAAACAAATAAAAATGGGAGTATCTGGATAGCTGATTCTGATTGTTTGTATCAAATTGACGAGAAACAAGTATTTTCTGCCAGCAAAACTGAAGGGTTAGATAATGCAGCTCCAAAGTAAGCGAATTTAAAGAAATGACAATAGAGAAATTAAGGAAATAATAGAAATTATGAGTTATATACGAAATTCAAATTGCTCATTGATTTGTTAAAGATATCAAGTTAATAAAAAATTTAAATAATTTATCATTTTCGTACATCCTGTTATAAATTAAATATATTAAAATTAGAGGTCGATTATTTTAAATTATTCAGAATATTATTAAAACGATTAAAACGTGGGTATACATATATGGAATATTTTTAAAAATACCTCCTATTAGAAATTTTAGGTGTTTAATCATGTCGAATAGAATATTTATTTCAATAATTGTACTGGAAATTTCTTCCAAGTTCAACAAACATTCAACCAAATTGCCATAGATACAAATAGCAAAGAAATGACATTTCATAATATTTTGACATATAATTTTGAAATTTTTCGTTCACAAATTCATTGTAACGTGCCAATAAATTCGTCGAAAAAAGGAATAATGGACACAAAGTAAGTTTCAAAATACCCTAAACGAGCACTATCTAGGAAAATCTCGATAATACTTCGTTCCTCTTTAACAATTTTAGTTAAATGATGCCCTATGAGCCCAATGAATCACCAGAAGCCAGCATCAGCACTCAATCCAGCTCAGACCAATATCTAGATAGATACCCGTACAAAAAGCCTAAAATACCAGCTCTGACCGAACGGTGGATAAAACGCATAGAGAAAGCTAAAATAAAATTAGAATGGCAAAAAGATTATCAAAAACGTCACGGTAAGAGTAACACATTAATAATTCGCGCCGTCCCTTGTTTTTATTTATTTCTTTTATCCCCGAAACGCGCTTAATATCCGATTAGTTAGAACATCATGCCAGCGATTCGAAACAAAAACAGAGCCCGATGGAATAAATTATCCTTTTGATTACTCGTTTAGTCGATTTTTATGAGGGATTACGCTTTATATTCCGCAGATTTTATCGAATGAATAAAAATAGTGGACAAATATTCAAGCAATTCCCATTCATTTTCACAGGCTATGAACGCAAATTGCCTTAAGTAAACTTTGATGATTATTTCCTGAATTTTCCGGTAAGTTAAGTACCTATCTAGGTACTAATTTGTGTATTAAATAATCGATTTTTTAGCACCAGCTAGAGTATATACAAATTGATTTGAGATAAGAGAATAGCAATGAGCAAGCACCCGCGACCATGCCTGGAATGGTACGAGCCCAAAAAGAAGAAAAAACCGCTGCCTCCGTTGGATTGCGGCCAGCCGTCCAAGCCCAAGCCGCCCAGGCCGCCGCCGATGGAAGAATGCTGGCAAACGCCCAAGCCCAAGAAACCCAAGCCTCCGCGCGTCGACGAGTGCGGGCAAATCATCAGGCCCAGACGCAAGCCGGCCAAGAAGCCCGCCACCGGCTCCACGTCCACCAAAAGCTCCGCCTCCACGTCGGCTCGCAAGCCCAAGCGGCAGGAATGGGTGCCGCCTAACCGCGGCAAATGCTACCCGCCGGCGCCAGACCCCAAACCGAAGGTGAGGTACTGCGCCAAGGAGAACCCCTGCTGCAGCAAGCTGGAGGGCAGGCCGCCGCCGATCATCAAAAAGGTGGAGAACTACCCGAAGATACCGGTACCTCCGGATCCGCCTCTGCCCGACAACGTTTACTACTGCAAGGCGCAGCTCCACTGCGACACCCCCGACGAGGATTTCAGGGACGTGCAGAAGGGGACGAAAACGAAGAGGATATGCATGCACGGGGCTGCGAGGTACCGTCCCCCTAAAAAGGGCCCTCCGAATTGTTAAACAGCCAAGCATTTTTGTAATTAAATCAGTACAAATTTACCGTTTGGTTTCTCGAATTAGCGGTGGTTGTTTGGAAGGCGCATTAACCGGGATTTCGGTCGATGTTGAGGGAAGTTATTTCGAATCCGCGGAAGTTAACGAGCTCGTCTAATTGCTCTTGTTTGCGATATGATGAGCCCTAAACCGAGTTGCGGCTTCCATCAGGATTCCGTTTAATTTTTAATTTGTACACCGATAGAGGAGTTAACAAGATCACCGACGTTTGGTGAATGACGAATTAATAATTTCGACTTCATTTGCAACAAATTTACGTGATTATGCGATAATAAAATCGGTTTTTTTTAAATCGTTATATTATGTCATCGCATACTATTATTTCAGTTTTGCTATATAAGCGCTTGTCCATCATCATCAGATCCATTATCATATTTAACGGAAATTAGAAACGTATTATTCAGTTGTACCAATATAATCTTGCCGTGCTTAATCCAGTTTAAATCGAAAATGAAACTTAATAAAACATAGCACATCCCCTTTATAACACCGTAACGGGAATGAACGTTTACTACCAACGGGAGCACGAGATTTCATAGAAGGCACGAATTTCTCGATATAGAACTCCCATCAATATTTAATGCAACTGCTCGGAATTGGATTAACTCCGGTCTGAAAGGAGTGAGAAAACCCGGGATGAGATTCGATCTGCGAAAACGTGGAGTTTTGTGTGTATAAGTTCGATATTTATCGTTACAAAAAATGTCCATTTTATTACCGATTTTAGTAAAATGACATATGTTTCGACATCCTAACCTGCAATAGACTCTCGTATATTGGTAATGCGTGCCTCATGAAAAACTTTACGTCGCTTTAAAAGTTTTACTCCTTCGAGTAGCTGGATATTGAGCAACTTTGGCTCGCATGCGGAAGCTTTAAGTATGTGAATAAAAACTCGCCCGTTTCACTTTAACGAACTCTGCGAACAGAACAACGAAACACGGTGACATTTACAGCGAAATTTCTTGACAAAGTCAATATAATTCGTAATTGCATTCGATGGAAGGCAATCAGAAGCAAAATAAACTCGACAATCCTACGCCTCCCTGCCATGAATTCATCGCCATCGAGCATTTTTGCGTTTATTTCGTGGAAGATTTAATACATACGGCTTCAGGTAACCCAAATAATATTCACGTACAATCAGATTTGAGTTAAAATTTTACAGAGATTCTGAGAGATAAAATGAAGTGCGACATATTTTACGATTACACGGCGTTGAAAATCGAGGAAAAGATACACTGGTGGCCGAGGATAAAGGATTTCACTATTACACTGGGCGCCGCGAAGATCGATGAATACATCAACAACTCTAATGAAGCGGATGAAGATTGGCACTACGCCATAAATTTTAGAAGAATTGATAGCGACTCGACCAGCGATTACTACGAATACGAAGTCGTATTCGCCATACCCACGCCCATGTATCCCATACCGCAGGGCACTGTAAGCCTGTATTTCAAGTACGAATTATCGCGTACAAAACCGGCTCATTGTCCTGTTGACATAACGTTTCAAATGGAAGGTTTCGGAACCGTTATGAAACCGTACGATCTCGTTATCAATGACAAATTGTTGCTCAGGGGCATCAAAACTAAGCTGGCTAATTACAAGCAATTTACCTTCTAATTCAAATATTTGTTCTGCTGGTATTAATAAGTACTTATAAAGCATGTTATTATTATTTATAAAGAACAATTAGTAGCCCAATTGGATCAATAAAAACTGGTTGGTACAGATTTATCCGATCATTATAGAGACAACTGAAAATGTGCAATTAACTGAAAAGCCCGTAAATCGTAATGATAATGCATAACATGGAGCACGCTATGTTCGACCTTCGTGGAAATACTACGAATTTTTGCTAAAATTCATCGATTTAATTGCACGGTCAAAACGATAAAAATCAAAAAGAATTCTTAAAAAAATTAATAAAGAATTGAGATGAAATTAATTCTAAAAACATTCCAAAATATCGACACGATTTGTTTGTATCCAATAATTTCAACAGAATTCAACAGATACTGAAACTGCTGGGAGATACTTCTCAAACATCGCGGAATGCACTGCAATTATCCTTGAACAAAAAAATATATCGTATCCATTAATTTGATTGTAAACATCGATTAGCCGAAATTGTTGTCAAACATTAATTCGTCCGTAGAAAATTGCCCGACAAATAGTTTAATAAATGCGTTACCACCGGGAATTAGGACGAAATCACGCCTAAATTATTATTTAGATATGTTTTGGGAACAATGAATGAAACGGAAATAAACCGACGACTATTAACGCTAAATAACAACAATCGCGAAGTCGTCAAAGCGTTTCTAAAAGTATTTTTATGTACAGAGTTGTTTTTTTTAAGTCTGCACCACAAAATGAAAAATAAATTATCGATTTTTCGAACTCGACCTTCGCCCGAATTTTCCGCTGCAGAAATAATTCGATTAAATTTCGGCTTTTCATCAGAAACGGAATTGAAAAAAAAAATATTCCGGCGACGTAACCCACCCGGTGAACACGTCGAAATTTATTGGAGTCGCGCTAATTCAATGTTTAAATTTTCAGCCGGCTCGGAGTTCTGTTTAATCAAAAAACGTTGCTTCCTTCCAGCTTCTAACCGGGTCTCATCAAAAATACACATCGAATGCATTTGTGATACATTCATGACCGAAATCGTTAAAGACAATTTTAGTCAAGTTTTAACAACGTGCAGTGTAATTATAGCCGCCTCTTCGTCCGCCCACTACATAATCCATAACATAAATGACGTGTAATTATCGCGTAATTCGAAACTTCAGACACAGAAGTCGCTTCCAATTTGCTAAATTCGAACAATCCGCAATTTTGAAATTAAAAAAAAAACAGCGTACTTCCCGCGTAGAATTTTCCAAGAATGAGAACTGGAGTACGCGTACGGCTTATTTATATGCACGAATTTTATTAGCATCATTAAACAATAAAGCTTTGACACGATTTGAGCGGTGAAAGGTCGGCATATCGAGCATGATTGCATTGCTGGCAAACGTTTCGTTAAATGCAATTACCGAATAAGTCGCGAGTTTATTGAAGAATACGTTTGCTCGATTTTAATGCTGGTTTAAAATATGTATTAAATCGCAAATTTTACAGCGATTCGTGCACAAATAAATACTTCCATTAAACATTTACCGTGTACGCTCGAATACATTAAAATGTATCCACATCGAACGTGTTAAACGATTTATTCGACTAGATAAACGTATTTGTGTGACATTATTCATTTTTTGAATTCGGCAGTAATTCGTTTAGTTGGTTTAATTGATTGAAATAAACGTACGTTCGAATAAAATAGCGCGTTTTAGCCGGGCTAATCCCATTAATAGTTGGCACAGGAGCCGTTCGAAAACTACGTGATTTATTAAATTCTGCCGGGACTTGTACCAGAAAACATTTAAATATCTAACTCGAAATAATTATAGCACCACTGCATGTGCTTTATTAGAGCAAAAATTACACCATTCGCATAATAAATTGTTTTTTAGCAAAAAAAAATATAATATAAAATTCATATTTGTTACTATTTTGCGGCTGTAAATGCAGAGTACACGAAGAGGCATTAAAGATGCATTAAAATCTTTTATATCCTGCAGTGGAAGCTTTGGAACATCCAGTAATTTGGGTATTTACGACTTCCAACACGAGTTTAAATACAAAATGCAGTAAATAATGTTACACTGTAGAGAATTAAACGCTTTAATATCTTTCACTGAACGAACCTAGCAGGTGGATTAATTAATTAAAATCCTTTTAACGTGTTATTTATCCACTATTATAGAGAGACTAAAATAATAAAATTATATCGCTTTTGAGTGGCACTCATTATAATATAATGTTTTTAGTAGATATGGAAATTTGGAGTTTCCAGTTAGTTTTCAGGAGAATTTAAATTTAGTTTGACGGCCGGTTTACCGCTCTTTCGGCTTCGCCCTTGTCGCTAGAGAAATTTCGTCTGAAAAAAAGCGCCGGATAAAATTACGCCCAAATGCGATACAATCGTAATCCGCACACCGAATGGAAAAATATCATCAACCTTGGCATTATTTTTGGCACTGCAGAATCGTTTATAATCCATTCGCATTAACCTCTGCGGTGGAAAGAGATTAATCAAAACCGGGCGTCTGAAAGATGAATGAATCCTCCGGTCCTGCGAGCTTGTTTATCGAAATCACTGCGTTTTTTCCCGACAATTGGAGCAGTTGAATTGCATATTTATAATATTCAGAGCGATGTAGAAAAATAATAACTATAATGTAGTCATTGCGGCGATGATAAACGACATAATGGAATATTTTTCGAATCGCCGATAATGCGGCTGTTCCCCAATAAAAATCATAACATATAAAGCGATTAAATACAGGTAGTTCGTTATTTACGAATTCCGATTGTTCTTTGTGAACTCGGGACCTTGCGCATAACTAATAATTTAGATAAACCCGTGTATAATGACCGATATTATCGGCGAAAATTAAAAAGTACGCTTAAAACGAATTACAATTTTCCGCTGATAAGTGACTGTATTTAATATTCGTCACAACCGCAAAAATATTTACCTACTCAAGTGGCCTTTGTAAACATAGCAAAACGGATTTTTTTCCCCACTAATAACCAGCCAAATATATCCAATAAATTCTTACAAAGCAGGTATATCGAATTTTAGTTTCTCAAAGAACAGGAAGCAATGATAGATGGAACTTTCAGCGGGACTTACCGGAAGCTGGAGCAAGGATGTATGACCCAATGGCCGGCGGCCTTCTGCCTGATCCTCTCCTTCATCAGCGCCTTCTTCGAGCCGAACAGCTTCATCGCCAATTTGTTGTCGGTGGGCTGGAAAAGGGCCTGCAATTGGTTCTTGATGAAGCTCTGTTTGCCGGCTTCTGCGGAGCCCAGCGGCGTCGGGCCGGGCTCCTCTTTCGGCGTCCCGTACAACGACACATCGTCGAAGTGCACCTAAAATGCATGAAATATCCCCAAGATTAATCGTGGAAAATTACGGACCAATTCTCAATAATGGAAAAATAGTTTGAATTCAATTCAAACATGTCAAGCATGATTATTTTTGCAGTGGATTGGAGTATATTAATTTTACAATAGAAGAAAAAATAATTGAGTACCTTGCCGCTGCCCTTGTAATTCATGTCGTTGGATAGGTCCGTGATGAGTAACGTTTCGTCGTCGATGGCCGTCACCAGGGAGTCGGTGCACGTGTTGGTGTTCTCGATGCTGATCTTGATCGAGTCATCTTTGGCGAGGCGGCAATGCGGCGGCGGCGTTCGGATCTCTTCTTCGGACTGTGCGGCGGCCACGCGGCCGTTCGCTAGGCGCAAGCTGGGCGCGCGTCTGGAGCCGCCCCCACCGCCACCGCCACCACCACCGCCGCGTCTTTCGCCGCCTCCGACGCCGCCGACGACGTTGTCCGCTCCGCCGTCCCTGTCGGAAGAAAATCACGTTTTTAGCGATTTTTAATTGGCTCTTAAGTTGCGTGTGCGATTGGAATTTTCATATAATTTTGCTTGGTGCTTAGAGCATAGTTGTTAATTCGATGTAATGACGCCAAGCCTTTAAAAATGATTAATTCTTATTTAATAGTTTACAACAAAAGTAAACAGTGATTATCCGAAGCAATTTAACGCTGTAAGTTAAATTATATAACAACAAAAAACCGATATTTATTTGGTCAATTTAATGTGTTAATGCAAAATTGGGCACTTCATTACGAAATTGTTTCTAAGAACTTATAAAAACTTAATGAGTGGATACCTAAAATATACACATATCACTCTTAATTATTATCATAAGAATCGTAAAGAATTTTTTTGTTAACATGCTATTAGACTTAATAGGAAGGTCAAAGTCAAGAATCTAAAATTAACCATTTGATTTGTTCCATAGACACAAAAGCCTTAATATTGATCCGTTTTTAATCGTTCGTAATTTTTGTATATCGAATTCCACCGTTTCGTGTTACAGATAAACGCATGTGACAATAATAATTCCTGATGTATGTAAATTGATACTTGTGCAAAATATATTTAATTCCTGACAAATGATCCGTGCAAGTTTACATGATCAATTTCATCTCATCTGACCTCGGCTCAACTTTTATATCGCTGACCTTAAGGCTTTTAATCACTTGGGATATCTTCAAATTATTATTTTTTTGCCAACAAATCGAGAAAAATATTGTGGTTGAATTTCTAATAAATATTAATTTGTGTGTCAAGAATATTTACATTATTAAATAAGCAGTAAAAACTAGTTTTTAAGAACTTAAATTATATTTTGAGATACGTGCATAATTAATGCACATCTGTTGTTACAATACGCTCAAAGTGCAAGTTATATTCCATTGTTTTTTTCTACGTAAATCAAAACGTTGCCTGTGATAAGATATAGTAAAAGGCATTCACAATATTAGAAATGCGATTAGAGGTGATAGGATAATATCGATAACATATCGTATTCAAAATAGAGGAAACGGTTAAAATTCTTTCCTCTTCACTTTTGCGTGACTATACAATTTTAAAATATAACCTACATTGTGCTGTATGTGATTACATTATATCCTATTTAGCGATCCTATTGTAAAAGATGTATCCACAACAATATTTTCTTTTTTGGAAAATATATAAGTGAAGTAATTTTTCTATTTAATACCTACTCATTACCATTATCAACATAGATCTGTACCTAACATATTTTTGTAAATTTTTGCTAAATGCTAAGTGCTAAATTTTTGCAAAGTTAAAAATTTATGGGCATACTTTCCTCACTAGTTTATTTATTACTTTTACACAATAAACAGTTTTTATCAGTAACACATAATAAAATTGCACAAATTACAATTTCAAATTTAAAAACGACCATTGGATTGATCAAATATATATTCAATAAAAAAACGTACCTAGCAAAAACGCCCGAATATCCTTAATCCTTTACCGAAGAAACGAACCAAAATAATCAGTACACACGCACATAAATTGTTTATAAACTAGTTATATTTAATTCTACAAACTAAATATTTCGAACAGCGATACTACCGATTCGCAATGTCCTTTAGAAATGCTGGTGCTCCTGTACAACTGCGGTTCACCGACTGAGCGGATCGACTCAATGACCAAACACCAGCGAAACGAAGCAAAGAAAGCAAATTGGTAGTGATAGTGCTTCCTGTCGTGATACATGGGGACAAACGGGGATCGCAGGCGGCGTTGGATTGATAATTTTGTTGTGATTTTTTTTAATTGATAACCCATTTTTGTGGTTATCAATGTTTATGAGTTAACCATAAAAACGGGCTATCAATTTGTCGTCGATAAATAATAAATATATGTAGCTTAATACAATCAGAATATTTGTAGTGGGTTATATTGTCATGGGAAAATTGAATATTGCATACGAGATTTTCGACGAAGTGCAACCGATTATTTTTCTCCAAAAAAAGTAAACCAAGTCTCGGGTAAAGGTTGCATTAAATATGAAATATGACATGACAGGGTGAGCTGAAACTTTTGCATTATCCCATCAATTTTTAAAGCTTGCTGTTCCTCGATTTGCAGTGAATACAAAACTGGCAATTTTCTATTTCCCAACAAAATGTAGATACATATGTTGATTTTGTAAATTAAAGGTCAATATAAATTGATTGTGATTTGTTTAATAAAACCGGCCAGTCCATCAAACATTTTAGGAATTTTCGGTTATCAATTACAAACATTACGAAACCGATTAATTCCGTAACGATCCTCAAAGTGAAATATTACGTGCTTTGGGACAATAAAAAAGAAACATCCTTATAATTGCCCGTCTAAATTCTCTCGACCAATTTTCGCATTCTGATAAAAACGACCGTCTCCCACGCGAAATGTTATCTTATTTTAACAAGTGATATCATTTCCAGATGCAATTCAAGGTCGCCTATAAGGAAGAAAATTATTTTATGCAATTAATTCCCGTAATAAACTTTTTTTGCATCTATAACATCGTTTAAGAAACCGATCGTAAGTCTTGAAAGCAATTCTAAAGCGCTAATTTTTCTTATTCAAACTAAGCGTATCGCGCGAAATGAAAGATGACGGCGATCATTAACGCTAAAATCCCCTTAAAACACGAAGAATACTTTTATTATTTCCACGGTGAATGTAATAAATTAAAAAATTAGTGAACCGCAGGATAGGATCTTTGCACAAAGCGCTCGACCATCTGTTGAATCCGTCCATAAATTACTCCCCGAAAAAGAGCTGCAGAAACAATGAATTTCGACCAACAATTAGAACAAGATAAATTATTACGTTAAACTAATTAATCCCTTTAATTTTAAACATTGCAATTCATTCTCGTCAATTTAATATTGCTTTAAAACAAACAGGAAATTCGGAAAAATGTGACAACCTTACTCGTAAATAGATTTAATGGTAACCAAAAGCAGAACAATTGGAGCAAAAGCAAGTATCAGGGGAATCACAGATCAGGATTTTCCGCGATTTTCCTCGCATCGAGCTCCGCCTGTGTTCGTTGTTGCGAGACCGGTCTCTGCAGATCGCTGATTTTATGAATTCCCAGTTGCGTTTTATTGCCGAGCCCGTCCAGATGGTGCTCGGAAAACCGTCGGAAAACCGATCGATGAGCCGCTAGTTCCGCTCTCCGGCGGGAGAATGCGCCTCAGTGGAAATTCACGGTGTTTACCACAATAGAGATTTTCCTCTTCCAGTATTCTGTGATTTACCGGCGAACTTTAAAATTGATCAGATCGGATTCTCGTCGGTTGTTAATTTTTTTATGTAGAGCTAATTACGAATGGTTATAGAATTTGATAATGATAGTAATAGTGAGCTAACTATGCTGCTTATTATACATTACCCTTCAAATTAGTCACTTGTATACTAATGGGCATAACAACAAAGCTTTTGTGTATCAATCTGCCCGGAGCGTTCCCCATTATCAATTCAATGTTATTGATGACACGGGTTATTAGCCAAATTTGACGGGCATCTTCATCAATTAGTTCCGCAATTCGTTATTACCTATACACCTAATATCTGCCGTTCAGCATCGATTCGAGTGGGGAACGGGCGCATGTTTTACGTACTAAACTTTTCTTTCGGAATCGAATTAGTTTTGTTTTAGGGTTAATTAGAATTCCGCAGGGAACCTTCGTCGCGGAGCCATCGGGAAATTCCCGTTCCGGAACGCGCGAACGGCCATCTCACGCAGGAATTAGCGAAAAAGGCGAAAGGGCGAAGGGCGAAAACCCATTTCGCGTAGACCGCGTTCACGTGTTTTACGTCCCGGCGAGCGGTCTTATTTAATATTGTTTCCCGTCGAGCTTTCGCCGTACTTTCGGCACGTTCCCGGATCTGTCACATCGCCAATGAGGAACGTTTCCAGCGGATTAATATTGTTATTGCCGTGTTCTTGGCGCTTGTTAATGAACAATCCGCTTAGCTGTATTTTAAAAAACGCATAAAGTTTAGATGCAAATGTATTATTTTGCGAAGTAAAATGGCTATTACGTGTAGTTCGCTTTATAAATAATCTCTACATGCTGAAAAATAAAATTAATAAACACGCGATGTTTTCATTTCTTAGGTAGGGTATGTCTATTTTGGAGTTTTAATGTCGCATTGCGTATATATCTACCAATAATTCCAGTACGGCCGTTTCGTTAATTGATTAGATTTTAAGCAGTTGCGTGGTAAAATCAAGGTTAACACTTATTTTTTAAAAACCTAAAAGCATTTAATTCCCACACTAACTCCCTACAAACCGAATGCATTTAGCACTTTTAATCAGTCTAATAAAAAAATAGATCGAACTCACAAAGAACGTTTTATGGTCTCTATTCGAGTCGCGTATACGAACCGAAATGAATTAATTCCCAAGTTTCCGAGTGGAAAACTCCGGCCGGAAATCTCTAAAGATTTGAATAAAAATTCGCTAGTTACCAATCGATACGCTATGTTATTTTAAGAGCCCATTACCGGATTTAAAATAAATCGGCTCCTCATAAACTCGCTTGAAAATCGAGCTCGCGCAGCAAAAGAAGGGTCACTAACCGTCCAAGGTTGATGGAAAAACGGCAAGGTAAGAAAAAATAGAGATGTTTTTTGGCACCAGGTGAATCTAGTGAATGGGCTGACGTAAATAAGGTGACCTTTGGGCGATCGATAAATCTCACGGGCGCGCCGTCCTCAAACCGCCTCGCCGCCGCCGACGATACTTTTCCTCTTCACTTTCCATCTCCCGACGTTCCTGCGATTCCTGCCGCTGTATCGGTACGGGAAATTCGCCTGGTAAGTGAATCAGTCGGTCGCCTAACTAATTTTTCGAGCAGTATAAGAAACAGGTTTTCCTCGATGAAATATTCAAAGCGGCGGGGTTTTTTGTGCAGGAGAAATTGACAAAGGAATCGCGGAAACGTCGAGGCGTGT